TTTTCTCTGGCAAAGCGCTCAGGCCGCCACAGGCACCCCCAACACGAGTGATGTCGAGCTGACCACCACCACCCCCGGCCACACACCCCCAGCCCTCCGGGGTCAAATACAACCCTGATGCGGCCCTCAAGGAAATCGAGTTTGACATCCTGGGTCTAGAGCCTCCATTGCTAAGCAAGGTAATCAGTGAGCCACGCCCAATTTTTTTTGCTGCAGTCATTAAGAATATCATCATGCTCGTTAAATGAATCACATGTTCATTAAAGAAATCCAGCTTTTCCCATTGTTTTTGCTTCTTGGACGCCCACTAAGATGATCACAAATTGCAATCATAGGATCCTGGGACACTGCAACCATTGTAAATACATGCTGGCTCCAAGTACCTGAAGTTTGATGAGGTGACTGCAGGGATACTAGGGATACTACAACGGTCGCAAGTGTAAGGATTGGTTGTCACTTTTTTCAACACAGTCATCACTTTGAAGGGTCACTAAATAAATGGTTGTATGTTGATGACTACTTTTAATTGTCTTAAAATGGCACAACCAATTCAGTACAAACAAGCTTGTCCAATGTGGTAAAAAAATTACACACACACACAGAGTTTGATTGCTGACTGATCAGGTTCTGAGGATAACAGTGGATGAATCTGATGAAAGCATCAAATCCATGTGCAGCTATTTTGAAAATGGCATACAGATAGTCCTCGATTTATGACCAGAATTGCGTCCAAAATTTTTGTTGCTAAGTGAGACATTTGTGGGTCTTGCCCCATTTTACCACCTTTTTTTGCCATAGTTAAGTGAATTTGGCTTCCCTACTGACTCCTCGTCAGAAGGTTATAGATATAGATGATCATATGACCCCAGGACTCTGCAACCATCCTAAATAAGAGTCAGTTGCCAAGCATATAAATTTTTATCATGTGACCATGGGGATGCTGAAATGGCCGTTAACTGTAAAAAATGGTTATGTCACTTTTTTTAGTGCCATTGTAACTTCAATGAAGCTGAAAGGCGAGAAACTCACAATAGACAAAAGAATACCTCCACATACAGGAAGCAAAATTTTGGAATTCATTACAAGTTGTGTAGTACCACCAATATTGGAAACTGTGTGGCTTCTATACCTGTGACAGGAGATTATAAATCATACAGGTTCTGTTATAACCATACCTGCTTCACAACTCTTCATATAAAATTATCTGGCAACTGTAGGGATAGAACAGTAAACTAGGTAAACTTTTCATCTGATCCATGATAGCTTAATCAATGTAAACTTTTTCTGCAGGGTAATAATTGTGTGTAAAATATTGCCACCAATATTTTAACCAATTATTCCAAAGGGAAGTTGATTGAAAAGTTCTACATGATATTTCATCCCCTATAGTATCCATGGAATGACCTCTCTGATGTCCATGCTCTTTTCTTTTATGGTTTCTCACTTCCATAAAAGCTCAGCTAATTAAGAACATTTTAGTTTAGTTATTAGGCTGAGTTTTATTATTTAGCCTAAGCTCAATAGTCAATTTAGGGCTTAGGAGCACACATGAACTCCACTTTTATATTTTTAAAAACTCAGTAAATATGTAGCCACATTTATTCTTCTGTTCAATCTATTCATTTCCTAGCATTTCTTTTGAAGACATTTTCATTATTCAAACTTTCCATTTAGTTATTTAATTTCTATAGCCGCCCATCTCAGCCAATGATTCTGGGCAGCTTACAATTCAAAACATATATTACAATTAAAACACTAAAATTTTTGAAACATTAAAAACATCAAATAAATATACTAGTATTTTAGTGCCTAAGGAATTCATATCCATCTGAAGTCTAATCACTCACACTAACTTCCAATAAAACAATTCATACATAATATTAGGATGGAGCTCCCTATAACATCCACCATATAGTTATGAGAAGTAAATGTTTACACCACTCCACTTTTTTTAAAAAAAAATCCTTTCATTGCTTTTCTGTTAAAATGAACAGGCTTTCTATCTTAAGTTCAAATATCAATATATGCTTTTGGAGGAGGAAGAGCAACACAAAAATAAAATTAGTAACAATAGTTTTAGCTACATTTTATCACAGTAATGAAAAATGTTCACTATCTAGGCAATTCAAGTCAGGATTCAGTTCAACTACAACTATGGATATACCTTCTTTCATCATCAAGAAACTTCAATTACCAATTGGTATTAAAGAATAGGATTTAAAATGCAGTGCAAAGCTATGCTTTTTATACAGAAGGAAGACTCTTCCAGCCAAGTTCCTATATCCTTCATGATGCCAAGGAGTTTGTCAACATGAAATTGTAGCAAATTGTAGCAAAATAATGACCAATTTATTCAGTTACCAAAGAACACCTTATTTTCAACTGATTTTCAACATGTTTTTCATTCTTTAATAATTATTTCTAAATGATACCAACAGGAAGATGGTGTTCACAAATTAATTAAATGGATTTGCCATTCACAAACTCATTTCTTGCACTTAGTGGATGCACACAGGGACTCAATCTAAAGAGAACTGTGGGAATATGAGCATGTATTTGCACACTTAGGGATATAAGAGCCAGTCTGGTCTAGTGATTAAGGCACTAGGCTAGAACCCAGGACACTGTGAGTTCTAGTCCCACATTAGGCATAAAATCCGACTGGGTGACTCTGGACCAGTCTTAGCCCATGATGTCAGATTCAAGTGACAAGCTGATCATTCAATCCCTGTACTTGTGGGGTGGGGTGGAAACTAGGAAGAAAAAGAAAAAAAAATGCATATTTGGGATGTAGCTTCATTTTTCCTGAGCCTTTATCCAACATTGCTGTTCAATGATGGCTCATTTAACATTCCCAGAGGAAGCTCTTTCCAGAATTTCATCTGACTGATGGTCTACTACACAGCTAAGTGTTCACGGGGAACATCATGACATAAGTGGAGAAGAAACCTGTTTCCAGGGGTGGGGCTCGCAGGTGGGCTCTAATTTAGGAGACAGAGCCAATGCTTGGAGTCAGTGCATGCTTGGTCAGAGGACCAACAATGACTTGTCTTTAAGCAACAGGATGTGAGCCTCTCCCACCTGCTTCCCAACTGTGTTTATTCCCTCCAGTTTAGCTCAAGATGAAAACATGCTTAAAATACTCAAGTACTACCAACCTGTTTTAAAATACAACAAACACACACACACACACACACACATGCACCCATAAAACAAGCCATCTTACACGATACAGGGAAGACAACATTCACAGGCATGAAACACAAAATTATTGAAGCCCCTGGGAAATTAAGCAGCTGGAGATTTTTCTCCCATTAACGGAGAGGAGGCATTCCCAGGACCTATTTTCTTCAAGTGACAGTTTGCAAACCTGGGAGTGGCATCCACTAGCAAGGAAGGAAGCCATGTTAACCCCTCCTCAATCAGTACCCAATCATAACAAAAGGCTACTATAGGCTGGGAAGTAACAGAAGATCAGAGGAAAGGATTAAGAATCCCAAAGGGGCAGAAAGGACCAGTCCACATTAAACACTGCAGCTCAGGGCCTTTTCCTTTCAGAGTCTTCCAAAACTATATAATGCAGATTATTCATGTGTGTACACGTCCTAACAAGGACCTTAATCTGCCCGCTGCATCTGAAGCTGTGAACCAAACTTACTTCACTATTCTCTCAGACCACTCCCTAAACTGCATGGCAGGGGGAAAAAAAGTGCAATCAAAACCCACAACTACCTACAAGCTTTGGCAAATGGCTCAAAGAAAACATCACTGGAAGAGGAAAACCGGGGGATACAGAAAATATCACCATGAGCATCGGCGGCTTCTAGAAGATGCAATCACTGGCACGCCTATTAATCAGCCGCCACCCCCCACCCCTCTCTGGCGCTGACAGGAAGTGTTTACAGAAAGCACAGTCACAATATAGCTGGGAACAGAGACGGGCAAGCAGGTGGTGGGTCAACCCTCCCTTTCTGAGCCCCCAAAACCCACCCGATTCTCCAGGGCAGCAAAAATTCCCAAGCTCTAGAAAAACGCCGAGCCGGTGAAGTTCCAAGCGTCAAGATATGCCGGTACACCGCCTAATATTAGCGTCTGTGAGGCGGCGGCGGCTGCTAGACCGGGAAATCGCGGGGAGGGGGGGGAAGACCGGAGAGCGTGTTGTCACACATCATCCTTGGACACGCCTCACCCCTTTGCACAGCGTTCCACCCAGGGCGTAGAGCCGTCCCTGCGTGGAATTGCACTTTAGCCTTTGGATTTCACAAGGGGACGATTAACAAGGAGAAGCCCAAAGCTTCAGAATGAAGCCCACCCGCTTGGCAGCATCCCAAGGCACCCTTTCAGCCTCACTGCCGCCTCCCTTAACGTCCCTCGACTTGACAATCGGACACACCCCATAATAGCTTGTCTTCTCGCGCACGAGGCTGTTTCCCCCTGACAGACGCAATCGCCGCGCCTTCCCTTCTCGTACGCCGAAGACCGCCTCCCACGTTGCTTTTGGCCGAGGGAAGCGCCACCTCCCCAACCGATAACCCGCCGAATCTCTCCTACTTAGAAATGAGGGTGGCGAGGATGATGCTGATATAACCTGGGGGGGGGGGAGAGGCTGGCCTTTACACCCCCACTTCGGAGATTCGGGTTACAACCGACTTCAGCCAAGATCCAGGGAAAGAGATGTTGTACAACCCGCAACCCGCCTTGTTCCTCCCCCATTTTGGCTCGTAAAAGCCAAGCGCTGCCACTAACAGCTCCGTGTACACGGTTGCCCTGGGGCGCGCCGAGTGAACCACTGCAGGACCTCTGGCTATTACAGCCCGCACCTTCAATATTCCCAAACGGTTGAAAGCTGAACGCCCACAGATCCGCAGGCGCTTCGTGGCCGCCTTCCCGAGGGCTGCTAAGGCGTTACTTACACAGGTGAGCCGAATCAACCTTCAAGGCGAACGTGCTTCTAAACCCAAAAACAGCATTTAAGAATTGGAGGAGAAAGCTCTACTTACTACTTTATAGCCTGCGAGGTTTTCCTTGCAAACCAGAAAAGCAAAGCTGCCTTTTTCCTAGAGGGTTAAAAAAAAAAAATTGGAAGCGTGCGAGGAAATGCAAAGTTTGCGTGGTGCCTGGAAAGAGCAAAGCGCCTTCGCGAGACTCCGCGTCCCCCTCCGCAGAAAGACCGGCTGCTCTCTTAGTCAAGGCTCCGTGGGTCCGATGCAGCGGCGAACTTTCCACCTAGGCGGCGGAGGAGCCCCGTGTTTGCAACGCCCTCCCCGCATTGGCACCCAACACTGAGGCACCCGCTCCGCCCGGGTGCTGCCGTGACGGCGGCTTGGACAATGTGTGCGCGCAAAGCCAGCCCCAGGCAGCGGGCGGCACACGCCCAAACGCCGCTCGCCGCCCACTCGTCGCTCGCAACCTCCCGGAGCAGCTGATAGGCGCTCCCGCTCAACCTTCGGGCTCCAGGCCGCGGCTCCCCCACTCCTCCGACCTCGTGGTCGGCTGCGAGACACGTCAATCACTCCCAGAGCAACCTTCTCCCTTGGCCCCGCCCGCTGCTGTGTTGCTGCCGCGACTCCGGCCTGGGCTTTTGGAGAGCGGCGAGGGGCCGGAGGAGGAGGAAGAGGGAGGGAGGGAGGAAATGGGTGTAGCGTGCTGGGAGAAGGGAATCGCCTCTCGCGTGGCTTATTTTTAGAGTCTGCTGCTTCCTCCAGGCAAATAAAGCCTCCTCCTCCTCTGCCGGGATGAGGAGATGCGCGCCCTCCCTTCCTCCCGAGGTAAATATTCCATCCAGGTTTAGTTCTCTTGTGAGCGAGGCCTCCCTCAGCAGCACTCCCCCCACCACCATTTCCTTCCTCTTTTTTTAGGACCCCTTTTTGTGCGTAGCTTGGCTGTGCCGCTGTGTCCTGCCGCTGCTGCTCCTACTGTTGGAGCCTCTTTCTCTCTCATTCTTTCATTCCCTGCACAGAGAAATGCAGGCTGTGAAGTCGGTAGGATGTGGGGAATCCGCGCTAGCCTGGTTGGAAAAGGCGGAAGGCAGGATGAATAGGAAAGCGCACAAAGGAATGGCAGTTTTCCCCAACCTGGCGCTCTCCAGAATTTAAGTACAAATCCCATTATCCCCTCCTACGGTTGTGTGAGCCGCATTATCCTGGGCAGGCAACTAGAGTGCCGGTAGCCATGGTAGAAGATTGTAAATTTGCACCCTCCTTACTAGCGGGTTCTATTAATTAGATTAGTAAGAAAACATTGCAAACAATGGTTCTTAAAAAGTTAAACGTTCTTCAAAGTGAGGGACGTTGTTACATTTATAAATATAACAATTTCATAAACATTTGGCTTTGAATATTGACTTGGAATTAAATGGCCAGTGTGGGATCAAATATATAACTCTAGAATTCTGGTTATTAGGGTAAATTTTTCTGGGAAGATTTTTTTATGTTATTCTGATTTAAGCTATTTTTTAAAAATGGTATATACTGTGCATAACCTGAAGTAAAGTGTAAATTATCTGCTTTGCAGACTTTATCCAGACACTACAATATAAGCGAGGAGAAACAAACTTCCTGCTGTGAAATCAAATACTGTAAAAACATTGCAAAGAATCAAAACAAGATCAAAGTACAATAGCTATAAACAGAATGCTCCTTTAAATCCAACATTTAAGTTTTTATTATATAAAATATGAGTGCTTAGCATTGTGATATGCCCAAATTTCTATAAAAATGTATATTTACTATATTTTTATACCACTGTACTCTACATAGAATTGTGTACAATAGAAACAAAGTTGTCATAAAATATCAAAATAAAAGCAAATATAGCAATATATTAACACCAGTAATACACAGTATACCCATACAACGAAATTCACCTAACACCCAAAGACCAGGCCCAACACACATAACAATCCCCGGACACACCCCCACCCACCACAAATTCCCCACCCCTAAACCACCCAAACATCCACACAACAGACCAAGTAATACTGTCCAACAGCTCACTGATGGTGGCCCTGTAGTTCATTGTTGAGTGCAATTATAGCTCTGGGATAAAAAACTATTCAGAAAATGTGTGGTCCAAGTTTTAATTGTTCTGTATCTTCTACCAGAAGGCAACAGTCCAAAAAGATTGTAAGCAGGATGGGAAGAGTCTCTGAAAATGTAACACAATTTCCTCAAACAGCGAGATTTGAAGATGTCATCCAGGTCTGGTAGCTGGAGTCCAATGATAATAAGGAAGATGTATTACAGAAAAACCTACATTACTTGCTCTCACCTAAATGTCTCATGTAGAAGGAACCCTTAGTATTCTTACCAGGTAGTCCAAACAGGGTGGGTAGGATCCATTGGAAGCAGATAGTCCTTTGGGTACTTAGGTGCCAAACAATGTAGAGCTTTAGGTCAAACCCACCACTTTGAATGGTATCTAGTTTTCCATTGATTTGCAATGCAGAACCCTCAACATTGATATTATGTATAAGTAATGGTATCCATCCACAAGCAAGCTACTGCATCTGGAGCCAATGCATCTTTCGAATACCCTTCAAAAACAGGTCACGTAGAGTATATTGCAGTAATTGGAAGATGACAAATGTCAGTCATTTCCAGGACTCCAGGAAAGTCCACAGCCAGCACACCACGCAATTCTGGGCCAGGCCCCTCTAACAACAACCTCCAACTGTCTTATCTAGCCATGAGTCTAGAAGGACCACCAAGTCACAGACTGGCTCCTTCATTGAGAGTGCTATCCCATCCAAAGTCACCATTGGAGTAAACTCAGACCCAGATGGCTAGGAGTAGTAGCTCAGACTTGCTGAGATTCAGCCTCAGTTTCTTTCTCTCCATAAAGATATTTACAGTCTCCAGGCACTGGGTTAGAATTCCCAATGCATGTCCGGACTGAGATGGAGATGCAGGTCAGGGGTTCTGATTATACCAATCTAATAGATTACTTCTCCCGTCAGCTTCTATATTCATTAGCAGCAGAGAGGAACCTTGTGCCATCCCATTTTGGAGTAATCAATGAGTTAATTCTCCTCCTCTATACTGAATCTGCCCATTCAGGAAGGAGCAAAACCACTGCAACGCAGTGCCCAGACTTCCAATCTTAGGAACTAAGGCCAAATTTCAACCAAAAGTTTACTGGGTGGGGTCTTAAACCATAATGTAATTTGTTTGATTTGAGCACTACCGCTTAGTCTATTCTGCACACCTAGCCATTTATAGTTTACTCAATAAGTTATGGTTTAAAATAGCATGTAAGCAAAGTCATTCAGAGCTTAGTGGCAAGAGATGCTACACTATATTCGGTGAGCAACATTCAGAGGGTGTTCTTTTACGTACACCATCTTGTTGCTCTCTAGTCTAACCCTGTCCTAACTGTATCTTTTGAGCAAGATATAGAAACTCTCCAGTGCCGTCTGAAAATGAAGTAAGCACATTCTAATAGCTCTAGTATTATATTAACTGAACAGAAAGGAAAATGATCAGGACAGAAACAAAAAACAAGCTGCCCCAAAGCTGGCCTTTGGCTGATTTGCAGGCATCACAGCAGTCCTGAGAAGGAGGAATAGATTAAAGAAAAAACGTTCCAGCAGTCTCATATTGCTAGGGCTTAAGCAGCATGCATATTTCAGAGCAGCAATCTCAAGCCACTCTTAATGGGCCATAAGTGCACATATAGAAATCTAGTTGTTTTTTCTCTTTAAAAAGTCAGAACTGTAGAACAATAGCTATAGCTTTCATCACCCTGCTGTAAACCATACCTGCTAAGTCAGTGTATGTGTTTCCCCAGCATGCTAAACCACAAATAAGCAAACCATGTGATAAATTAACACTATGTTTGAACCATAGTGTCCATTAAAGAAGCAGAATTTGTAGCCGAAAGAGCACTTGGTTATAGGCTAACAGCAAAGATCTTCACATGAAGAAATTAGTCAGTAAAACTTTTCTGGCAATTCTTTACAAGTTGTTTTAAGTAGTTTAAAATTGAACTATTTCTGGGATCAAACTTGATCATTTTGAGATCTGTGTTTTAGTGAAAAGTAAAGTCCTTCCTTTTATCACCTAAGAATATGACACAAGCACTTTGCTATAGCAACCCGGCCCATGAAATAGAATAATGTTGATATTGGTTGCTATGGTGAGTAAAACTGAGATTGGTGGCTTTGCATCATTTAGAAGACGGGTTCTTGTCAATAAGAGCCTTTACAAGGATATACCTGAGATAAGGATCAAGCTAAAAGTCCAATCACTAATAAAAATTAAGTACATAAAGTTATGTATTATACAAAATTAATCACATTCAGATGAATGATTCATAATCTGTCTCCCATAAAGAACTGAAACTGAACTGGTACTTATTTATTCTTCCCTCAACTGATAAAACATTCATTGCACCTACCAAATATGCATTAGACTTGATAAATCTATTTATTTTGCCTTTTGGTGACCAAGAAAGAAAGAGGAACCACATTGCATATCTGCTGGAATACATTTGGTTCTATATGTAATATTTCTGATATTCAGGTTTAGCTTTCTTTTGAAGCTTTTTGTTGTCTATCCTGCTGTAAAATGTTCACATGACTTAAAACCTTAATATCTAGAACAGGTTTTGCATGTAGCCACTTGCAAAGAATTAAGCACTTGATATTACACACTTGCTGTGAAAAATATGAACCATGTTTTGAGATTTTGATTATCCAGGTTCTTGTACATGACAATGACTTTTTCAATTCAGCTGATGATCAGATCACTTTCTTTAATAAAAACATGTGTTAAGACACTAATCTGATGATGATGTGGCCCTGTAATTTATCAGCAATTGTTACTATCTTTTTAAACAGCACAGAACATTGTATATAGTTTTCCAGCAATAAATTGTTGAATCATTCCTACTGGCAGAAAGGATTGTGGAGCAGTTTATGGCAATCCAAGGACAATTAACTGAATTATGCCACTACTATATAAAGAAACAAGACTGTTTGATTTAAATGCAACCAGACAAAAATATATGACGTTTCTGACTTGGTATCCACATGTACTGGAATGAAATTATGAGTTTCACATAGTATATGAAATAAATATTGTACCTGCTCCTGTGATGATATGTGGGAAAGACCTTGGGAGATTGGGATGCTGCCAAGGGAACAGTTAGATAAGCGACAGTAAAATCCATTGTTGAATAGTGGGCGAGGGTGGGCAAGAGTCTCAGAAGAGACCCTCGCTGGTTTCTTAGCTATAATAATATTGAGGGGGGTTGTACTTTTAGATTCTGTTAATGTAGCTTTACACGTGGAATTAGCTCATCTGGTCAGGTTTCCTCATTGGCCTACCATGTCTGAAAAGTTCAGATAATCAAAGGATAGTTGATGGAATATGGAAATTAACAAGATGCAGAAACTTCCAGGGAAGAAATGGCAAACTGAAGAAAGTGACAGAAGGGAAAGCAAGTGAGTAGACCAGCTCTTTGTAATTCCTCTCTAGACAAGGAAAGAATTTCAGACCTCTAAAAAGTGCTCCAGACAGTTGCTCCAAGTGAGGAAACCACAAGATCTGTGTGTTTAAAGTTCTGGGAGACAAGGGAATAAACCTCTTGCTGAAACTGCGGTTGGCAGCTTCAGAAAGGACACTAAGTTTGATATTTGCTTTTCTGTTTACTTCTGGATATTGCTTGTTAATTCATTTTCAGCTATTAGGAACCTTTGCATCAATACATTGTACAGCACCAGGTGAGTTCTACTCCTGCCTTAGTCATGAAAGCCAGTTGTGTGGCCTTGAGCCCAGTTCCCCTCTCTCAGCCCAACTCGCCTCACAGATTTATTGCTGTGGGGAAAATAGGACAAAGGAGTATGAGATACGCTTGCTGCCTTTAGTTAATTATAAAAATAATAAAGATGGAGTAAAAAAAAATACAAATTACAAATTCAACTTAAAACATTTCTTTTGGAATAAAAAGCAAAAGGGTGATTAGAACTTCGATTCTGGAAACTTACAAACTAAGGGTCCACATGGATTTGATTTTAAAATTAATTATACTTCCTGTGAGCACATGCTTTTGTTTTGAATTCTCTTTAAGATAGGATGGGACTTTTAAGGTTGGATATTACAGAAACAAGGTCTTCAAAGGTTTGATATTACAGGGAAGCAGAAGGAACTAAAGATTGCAATTAAAGAACACTTAAACTTGACCTTCTAATACAGAATGGAGCAAAATATTTTTGATATTATTTGAAAGGACTAAAGGTTAAGATTGTTAGGCAAAAAAGAAAATTGATTTATTTGAACAAAGCTAAAATAGATACATTATTATCTCTGATAAACTTTAATGGACTTTTCCTGTTCAGGACTGAATGTGGTTTTAAGAATTTGTTTATAAATACAGTAAGAGATGAGATATGGGAAAAAATTACAAAAGTAATTATACTTGTGATGAAGGGGAAAGTAATTTCTGTATGTGTGTGGGTATTGTATGTATATTTTCTTTTTCTGTTTTTCTGTTTTCTGCACTTTCTGTTTTTTTAATTCCTTTCTTTTTTGTTTGTATTAGTTTTTATCTTTTTAATTCTGATTTTTAATAAAATTACTATTAAAAAGAAATTTAACAGGTGCCATATAACAATCTGGGTTTGAAGAGAACCTTAGGTGCTGGTCAAATATTTATCATTTCTCATCTTTCCCAGCCTGAATGATTTTCTTTAAGGCATGCAGAATTATTATCAGTGGTCCTTATTAGATGGACATTTCAAACTTCCCTTATTTGGAACAAATTTGCCCTTATGATTTGGAGATTGAAACCATTGCTCATGTACCTCTCTATTGCAAGTTCTACCAAGATATAAGGAATTACCTTAAAACGTTAGCATTATCAGTACTATGATTAAATTTTTTGTTGCTTTACTTAAAGCATGCCATAAAATAGTGTATCCTCGATTATACACACAGAGAGATACACAACACAGAAATACACACACTCACATGGATCATAGTTATAAAAGGTATAAGTACAAGTAAGTAGATAGCCATATTTTAGCAGCATTTATTTTTCTTGGACTGAGGCATCATCTATAGTCCTATACTATAATTTTACCTTAACATAATAGAAAAATTGTCTGAACATATTTTTTTTTGTTACATTGATCACATTAAGTCAACATCTATCAAAGGATCAATCCTCAGTCTAGAATTAAATAAAGTCTGAATATAAGAGTACATTAGTTTTATCCAAAGAAGTGTGTCTATGGTATATTTATTTACAGCATTAGAAGGCATCAAAGATATTTTGGTAGAAAATTCAAATGACAGAAATCCATTTTATAGCCTTCCCAATTTGACATTTTCCTGGGGCATTGCTAAGATAATTATTTGTAGATTGGAAAAATAGTGCTATTAGATTCAAGAAGCTTACCTGGTTTTGAAAAGGCAGTTTTATCTGCTAATCAAAAATGGCTCAATATATTTTTCTATATCATAGGCTTTATATTTTGTAAAGGTAGAAAATCATTTAAAATCCCCCCTAAGGTACATTTAGAACTCTATATGACATATTTAGTTTCCCCCATTTTTGTTTCATTTGTTTTATTCTTGTTATATTGAGTAATTACATTTTTGTAGTTTTCATGTATTTTCCTTTTTTTGCATTTTGTATTTTTTTGTAAAACTTGTTAAGGTAAATAAAGAAATTGCATTTTTAAAGAGAGTGGCAAATCAACTTATACCAAGTATAGAAAGGCTGATCCATTAAAACATTCCCACTCCTTCCCATAAAGATGATGCTGGAAGTTTTTTCCAGTAGGATGTTCTGTTGGCCAAATCTGTTTCTTTCCTTCCTAAGGATGGCCAAAACTTGCCAATGGCAGCCTTCTCATTTTGCTTTGTGATAAAATATCTGAAAAAAATACTGAATTATTGTTATTTACATAATAATTTAGTAGACACCTAAAAAGGGTATAAGAAGTACTGATTGGTCAATGATCATAAATAAAAATAATGCTATTTAGAATACTGCTAGAGCTCAAGAATTTGATTTAAAATCAGGAGTGTTTCTAAATATGTTTCTGATTTTGTTTATACTACCAATACAAGGAATAAGACTCCATCATCAATCCAAAGTTTAGTAGCAAGCTAATTCTATGAGTAGATATTTAGGTAGCCAAAATAGCAGCATGTACACACAAAAAGTAACAATAGATTTTGTTATGACAAACCCAGGGCTGGCAAAAAGTGAAAATAAATCCAAAAATAGCTACAGAACATGAAGCATTGAAAGTGTGAGGCTATCTTATTATCTTACTATTTTCAAGTAATCAAGTAGGTATTTAATGTCTTGCAAAACTGATCCAGCACTCCAACTGCTGAACATAATTTTTTTTTGTCCTTTGTTGCATCTCAGCAGGGAATATGTTCCACATCATATAACTGCATTGCCTGCAGATCTACAAGCTTTGGCATCTCCCTTTTGTACTACCCAATGACAATAATTCTGAGCATAAATGACTCCTTTGGGAAATTGTGCCAGCAAGTTACAGCTGTGTCTTTGATAGCTACAAGAGTGAGTGAGAGAAGAAAGAAAATTTCAACATTGTGTTTATAAACATTCTGAAAGAGTTGTACAACATACATCCCAGAAGACTCCACTATAGCTTGGAAACAATTCTGATGGATGCATGGATGGACAGACAGACAGACAGAAATGTATAGTATGTAAGAATGTGTAGATGTAGACCTGTGTATCTAAGGTCTATTACACATGTAAATTTCTCTTAATGCCTTTTAAAAAAATCAAATTTCAGAAAATTGTGATCAAAGCTGAAAATGGTCTTCCCCTCCAGCTGTTTATCTCTAAAGTCTCCTTCAGATGTTTTCCCTTCCAATATTTCATGAAGTAGAAAAGGGAAATTTGAACAAAAAAACCTGCCAGCCAGCTCCTCGTTTTTCCTCACTCCTTCAGTGTAATGCAAAAATAATGAGAATTACCCAGCGTTTAATATGAAGCTTTTAAAACAATTACATTGCTCTTTTGTTGTAATAAAGCAATAAAATACTATGAGCCAGACATGCAGACTAGGAGGGATGTGTGTGATGTGGGCCGCTCGAGCTCCTTTTATTAAATATGCTTTCAACTGGGGAGAAGGATAGGCGGCGAGACGACGACTCTCCCGTCAGACTGACTTTCGGAACAAATACATAATCCGAGATGTTCTTTGGAGACCATTGCAACTACCGCCAACCCCTTGCTTATTTTAAGCCGGTATTGCTTATAAGTCAGAACACACATGCTAGGCGGCCTTCACGCTCAACCAGAAAGACTCCACAAAGAAGGCGGGAAACCGACCGGCCGACTGACACGGTTCGGCTCCCTCGCGCTTAAGACACTCGACTTTCAGCGGACAACGCTCTTCTCTCGGCGATTGGTGCCTCCCGTAAAACTTGAGGGGCGGCCCCTGTCGCAGAGGCTGGCACTTGTCGCAGAGGTACGCCACGCCCATCTTCCCGCAGGCTGGCGATTGGCTTCGAGCGTTCCGGGCTCATGACTATGTAGCAAGTGTATTCAAATCAGGCGGTTGCCAAGGTAACTTGAGGCCTTGCGTACACACGCTAATCCTTGGAAGAGGCCTGGGAGGGCCGAAAGGACCAAGGACGAGGGAGTCCCCAGGCGTGACTCGGTGAGGGGTTCATTTTCCCTTTTTCTTTTGACGTGCGGTGGTGTCTTTTTTCTTCTGCCGGCAGTTGGAAGGAATTAGAAGCAGGTAGGAAAGGGATTGTCAAACATTTTTAAAAAATTGACTGAGGTTTTTTTTTTCTCTTTAATTCAAGCCCGAGTATTATATTTGCTCTTTTTGCCGCTTTTTCAATTGATGGGGAAGCGCATTCTATAGCCTCCCGCTGTTTTTAAGTCGCCTTGCAGCGGGATGGGCGACAAACAAATTTAATAAATAAACTTCTCGTTATTACTTGGATGTTACTCTACGATGTGCTTTGACTTAGGAAACAATGAATGCCATGGTCAAGTAGCCACCGGTAGCTCCCTTGACTTAAAACTCAAAGCCCAAAAAGGTTTATTCAAGAATAACCCTTTTAGGAATAACTACTAAAAAGGGGGGAATTTATTTTTGAGCCACCGTGAGCAAAATTCTACTGCAATTCCAGTCCTCACTTAAAAATCAGCACTATTGCAATGGGATGGACTGCATTTTAAATCCATATGGATATAGGATGGATATATATGATACTTCAAAGCATGGAAGTTACATTCTTTTCAGTAATCTGTACCCTGAACATAAAATATTTACCTAAAGTGAACTGCACAAATAATAGATAAAACTGATAGTATACAGCATATTAGCTAGCACTTACTGACTGTTCTATTATTCTATTCATATTTAACAAATATGCAGATATGTTTTCTTTAGTAGAAAGTAGAAATTTCCACTGGAAATTATAAATAGAATTCTATATCTACAATAAATCTATAAAGTATCTAGGCCTATGTAAAATATACTGCAATAAAATTTTGAATCTACATTAAGTAATTATTGTTCAATTTTCCCTTTACTTAACACAGGAGAACGTCAGTCCCATTTCAAGAAGATAAATAGAAGATAAATAGCTCAAATTTGTATACTGCAAGTGGAGTTGCTGTTGGAAACAGACATGGTGGATGGCATGACAAGTAAATAGTGATACAATAACAATTTTAAAGATACAAAAATGTAGCATAAAAATGTATAAAACACCTTCGTGAGGGTACCTGGAGGAAGGCCTCCAAAGAAGGCCAAATGCCTAGGTGGTCTGTATGGAATTTTTCATGTTTGATAGCTATGGTCTGACTTGTTTGGTATTTTGACAAAGGAATCAGTGCAATGACAAACGGTAGTGGTGATAGTGAGCCTCCTTGAAAGATTCCTCTCTCGATATAAACCTTTCCCAGTCTATCACCATTGACCAGCAACTGCATCTTCTGTTATGCCAATGATCTTTGCACAAAACTTCTGATGTTTCTACTGATTTCTGTTATTTCTAGACATTTTATTATCATATGGGAGGGAGTTGAATGCCTTTTTATAACCAATCTAAGCTACCTTCAAGTTGGTCTTCCTTCTCTTGCAGTTTTCCAAAATTATCTTGTCAATTAGGAGCTGATTTTTTGTTTATTTTGTTCCTGTGCTATTGAGCAGTTTCCTTTCTGTTCAGGTGAAAAGAGCTTGTTTTTAACTAGATGCTCTTAGACTGCAACAGCTACCACACCAGTTTGCAATTTGAAAGTTGTAGGTAAGCATATAATCAGCGGATTATCTGGATCTGTTCCAGTTGGGTTTCAGGCCTGGGTATAGCACAGAAACGGCATTGGTCGCATTGGTTGATGATCTCTGGAGGGCTCGGGACAGGGGTTGTTCCTCTGTCCTGGTCCTGTTAGATCTCTCAGCGGCTTTTGATACCATCGATCATGGTATCATGCTGTGCCGGCTGGAGGGGTTAGGAGTGGGGGGCATCATTATACGGTGGTTCGCCTCCTTCCTCTCCGGCCGTACGCAGTCTGTTGGCAGGGGGGCAGAGGTTGACCCCAAGGTGCCTAGTTTGTGGGGTGCCACGGGGGTCGGTCCCATCGCCCCGCCTGTTCAACATTTATGTGAAGCTGCTGGGTGAGATCATCCATGGCTTCGGGGTGGATTTCCATCAGTACGCTGATGATACTCAGCTGTACATTTCCACCCCGGGCCACCCCAATGAGGCCTTTGAAGTGATGTCCTGGTGCCTGGAAGCCGTACGGATCTGGATGGGGAGGAACAAGCTCAGACTTAACCCTTCCAAGACCAAGTGGCTGTGGTTTCCAGCATCCCGTCATAGTCAGTTGACTCCATCACTGACTATTAGGGGTGAGATCTTGACCCCCTCAGAGAGGGCTCGCAACTTGGGCGTCCTCCTGGACTCGCAGCTGTCCTTAGAAGACCATCTGACGGCTGTGGCCAGGGGGGCTTTTTATCAGGTTCGCCTGATTTACCACTTGCGTCCCTTTCTGGATCGGGATTCCTTACGCACAGTCATTCACGCCCTCGTCACTTCCCGTCTGGACTATTGTAATTCTCTCTACATGGGCTCCCCTTGAAGAGCACCCAGAGGCTCCAACTGGTCCAGAATGTGGCCGCGTGGGTAATTATGGGAGCGACTTGGCGCTCCCATGTAACACCGCTCCTGCGCGAGCTGCACTGGCTCCCGGTGGTCTTCCGGGTGCAATTCAAGGTGTTAGTTGCCACCTTTAAAGCGGTCCATGGCATGGGCCCTGGGTATCTACGAGATCGCCTTCTGCCACCGATAGCCTCCGATCGACCGGTACGCTCCCACAGAGAGGGGCTCCTCTGGGTGCTGTCAGCTAGACAATGTTGGCTGACAACCCCCAGGGGGAGAGCATTCTCTGTGGGGGCCCCCACCCTCTGGAATGAGCTGCCCCCGGAGATTCGTAGGATTCCCGACCTGCATACCTTTCGTCGGGCCCTAAAAACATTACTATTCCAACAAGCAGGACTGGCCTAAATAATAATAATATTTTTACTATTTTAATGGGTTGTTTTATTAGAATTTTCAGCCAATTGATTTAATTGTTTTAAATTGTTTTTAATTTTTATACTGTCATGGTTTTATTTTTGGCTGCACACCGCCCTGAGTCCTTCAGGAGAAGGGCGGTATAGAAATTTAATAAAATAAATAAATAAATTGGTACATAGTTGCCTGGTGCTGCCCTTTTTTTGGATCTTTTATTAGGTTTTACCAGATGTTATCAGATGTTAATCAATTTTAAATTTTACCTCCCTGCAGTACATTGTTAAATTACTATGCACTGGCATAGACCAGTTAGATGTTTTAACCAAAAAACATGCAGTCCATCTTCATCTGGTCCTGACCAATTCTTGATCAATTCATCTGGTCCTGACCAATTCTTTGGGTGGAGGGGGGTGTTGGACTAGATGACCTACAAAGTCCCTTCCAACTCTGTTAATCTGTTATCTGTTATTGATATTCCTTGCCCCTTCTACCATTTCTGCTTTTTAAATTCTTATTTATCTCCTTTAGTTAAGATGCATTTTTGTTATATTTTTTGTGTTATCTCATAGCTCTGTGCATAATTGCACTGTTTCTTCTTTGTCAGGTGTTGACTGGTTCACTGCAGTCTCTCCATTGATGGATTGGTAGAAATAATTCTGGTTCGACTAAAATTGGAAATTCTACCTATAGTGTGCAGTTCAGGCTTTTTATCTGATTTTCTTGGCTACAGCTCTTATTTGTTGCTTTGTTATTTCCAGTGCTTCTCTAATCTTACCTGTTTCCTATTTATTGATTGGGTATTATTTGGTCTTTTCTTCAGTTTCTTTTCATTCATTTGTTTTAGCTTGTATCTAATCTTAGCTTGCGGATCTTATTTTCCAGCCTGATTTTTCATTCTGATGGTGCACTGTTTGGCTATTTTTCTCCTTTGTTGAATTTGCATCCCAGGTATTCAGTATAACTGCAGATATGCTCTACATTAGTTGGTTTCTTGTAGTGAGCTGGTGTTTATATTTGATATTACAATATTGGCATCATTTAATATTTGTGCTAGCTGTTTCTTCAGAACAAGCTGAAATTCAGGTAACTTTATTCTGTTGTCCTTGTGCTTTTTCTAGATGATCAGTTATTCTTCGTTTTAGTTCCTTTTCTTTTTTTAATTAGAGTGCTTGGCTCTTTCTGAGGAGAAGGCAGAGAAGAGAGTTCTTGGTTTGGGAATGAAAATGATTCAGTAGTGATGCTGGCTTCTTCTACTGCTGATTCCCCCAGCTTGCCTTTACATACTGAGTACTTCTAGCAAGAGTTCTGTGTTGTTCTTTTGGGATTTGTTTGTTTTTTACCCTGTGTAGATCTTTGCAGTACTTTCAATTCTGCTTCCGTAAATACTTTATTTTATATTATAAAACCAGTATTGACCTTATAGCCTCATCTGTTATTTCTGATTCTGGATGTTGTTCTTTCCAGAACTGCATTCTTTTCAGATACCTTCTTTTATTGACCTTTGGCTGGCTGTATTGTGGCCTGTTTAGTAATAACAGATAATTGTCTTTTTTGTTTTCAATCTTTGTACACTTCGATGGGTAAACAATTTTAATTCCAGAAGTTTTGCAGCTACTGGCCTTGGTTACTCAGCCAACAAGCCTGAGTCCTGTAGCCCATTTACTACCAAATGTTCAGGAATTCCAGGCCCTAGCATGGTCCTTGTTGACCTGGGCAATAATCAATGCAGTATGGTAGATTATGTCTCACCATATTGTTTATTGGAGAGACACTCTTCGTCTGACTCCTTTGATGAGACCTGCCCTGTACAGTTGAACCTCTGGCATTGTTCTCATCTTCCTCAGAAAACACAAGCCCAATAACCACATCAAGGGACCTCTTCACTGGTGGGGGGGGGTATTAATTATTATTTGAATATTATTTTTATAAATATTATTTAAACATTTTAAATGTATTTCATTTTCTAAATTACTGGGTGGCGCTCTCCCTCCAACTTTATTTATTTTTATTTATTATGCAGTTTTATGCATAGTTATTTAATGTGTGATTTATTGTTTTCAGTAGGTTTATTTCCAGGGACATGGATATATCATCACAGATGCAAAGTGCAATAAGAAAGTAGTGACTATTACTACTTTATCTCAATAGATCAATGAATATGCAGTGATTTGAAAGTTTGGTCCATTTGATTCCATCGTATGGTTTTTCTTTATTTTTTTTTCTCTTTACTTGATAATTCTGCATAAAGACAAAAATATAAAATCCAGAGAACATAGTGTCTCTGGTCTTCAATAATTAAAAACAAATATGAACATTATTTGAAATGTGTTCCCTAGCTTATTTGGCAAGAATTCCTTGACACAATTAAGAATACAGCAGATACCCCCAGCTGTTCATGATGGTTGGTACAGAAGGTTTTGTATGACCTTTGCATGCACCCTTGTTCTAAGGGAGTTGTGAGGATTTTTTTTTTCTATTTTCTCTTTAGCAACCTGTGTAAAATATTTAGCTCCAATCCTAGAAGAAGAGAGAAAATTTATCCTAGAAAATTTATTTCGTGCTTGCCTTTAATAATAAAAATCTCCTTACGGATACCAAGATTGGCCTAGGCAGCTGCTGAAAGCCATGACAAATTGGGTTGATGCAAATAGCCATGTACAGTATTACCTTTTTTGTATACCAGATTGGGTCTACATTGTTTATCATTTGTTGTTTTTATCTCTCCGATCTTCGTAAAATGCAGCTTTCTCCACTAAGAGGTGGAGAAAGACTCAGGGATGAACATACACTCTTTTCACCATGCAATCTTTCTAGAGTGATAATTGTTCTTTTCCATTTGTCTCAAAATTAGGGACCTAGCTGAAGGTATAGTTCCCCCTTTTATCTGAAAGAAAAAGACCATAATCAAAGATTATTGATTATCTGAAGTCAATTGGTACATTTAAATGACAAATACATACTGCTTTAAAATAGCTTTTTATATGAAGGTACACTTAATGAAAACTCAATACTGTACTTAAAATTTTTAAACTGACCTTTTCATTATTATTCATAAACAAATATTATGTTATTGTCCAGGAAGTAAAATGAATTGTTTACTGATGTTTACAATGATAGCTATATCTCTGTGCTCTTAGCTTTTAGTTCATCTACAACTAAGTTTTATATAACAAGATCAGGTTTTATGTGATGTAAGCTTATACATGAATACTGTAGACAAGAACGATTTTTCCATTAGGAACTAATTTACATAGTTTCTTGATGACATAATAATAAATCTTGTTTTCTGAAAGATAGGGTACTTTTACAAACTAAAGCTAAAATGGTATTCATAGTTCTTAAAGACATTCAGAAGAATGCACTATAGATTCTGCTTCAAACTCACTTCTCTAATCTACAGATATTACGTCTGCATTCCATACTTATATTTGATCACATTTTCAATTGGTAGAATCTCAGTATGTTTGATAGTATATCCCTTGTAAAGCTCTGTCTTGATTGTTCAAGCATTCAGCACTTGCAAGTTAATCTTAACAGTACTTCTATATGGAATTATTTTTGAGGACAGCCTGAAAAGTCCCATTGATTTGAAATGCTGTGATACAGTAATGCTTATATCTTGGGCTTTGTCACTTTTGGCTGGCCGGATTGTGACTGTTGAGGACAAGATATTTGCACATTGTATGGCACCTTAATAATGGAATTGTCTTCCAAGACAGGAGAGCAAAGCTCCGTTCGCCTACTTTTAAGTGGGCACAAGTTTAATTATTTTTGTTGTCAACTTTTACCCTGAAATATTTGTATCACTGGTCTGCTTTTGCAGCCTTGTCTTTGAAAAATGGGACATAATAGTTTAAATAAAAAATAATTATAGAACAAATAAAACAGATGTTTCTGGGTCGGAAATAAGAGTTTAGAAGCAAAAATTTAAAATTTGAATATCTCAAACATTTTCAAAACATTGCAGAAAAAATATTGAATATTCATGCATCTTCAGTGATTGGCACTTTGCACCAATACTGTATTGTATTAGTTTACAGTTCAAGTAATTCTATTAAAAAGAGTTGTGCATTATTGCCACTACGTTGCTACATTGTAGGATTTTGCTGTTCTTTAATAGAAGTATACTTGTTATCAAGAAGATCGGATTACCAGGCATCCTTCTTTTTAATTTGTTTCCAAGTTTTGTAATTGTGTTGTTCCCCTAAATGTTGGAAAGGAGCTACTGGGCGTAGTACTTAATACAGCTGTTATGTATTAGTGAATACTAGCTTGCATTGCCTTTCAGTTCACTACTATAAAAACTTTGTAATACAACACATTTTATTTTTGTTGTATAAATATGGAACTGGCTATTTTTTCCACATCACCCAGAGAACTCTGATATACAAGCATTCAGAAATCTCCACCCCAATTGTAGTTGAAGGGCAGTGTTAGAGAATCAGAACAGTATAATTACTCTTTGAAGTAGATGAAAGCTTGAATAGTATATTATTTCCTCTGTTCGATGCAACAGAAAATTCTTACAAATTTGGTTTGTTTTGATGATTGTTACAGTATTTTATTTAAAGTCATGACCATTGATTTTATGAATAACATATAATTTGTTAAGAGTATGATCTGCCCAGTATCATTGAAACTTGGGTAGCACATAACTTTAATTATTAATAATAAATTTGTCAATTTAGAGTTTAAATATAATTAGAATCAAATTAATTTTGTTTCCATGTTTAAATATCAGATATACTTTCCCTAATTTGAAGTCTGGTTGTATCAATATGGATATATGACATTTGTTTAAATTAACTCTTTGGCTACTCTTAGCATAGTTCAGAAAGTGAGAGTTGTACTAAAGTAGGATGCCAGCTGAACTGTATTAACCAGGTCTGACTTGCTTAGCTTTTTTTCCAAGTTCTGCTAAGACCAATTAGATGATGCCACCTGCTGTGAGCTATACATGAATATCAGTATATAATAGCTATAGTATCCAGCACATAGTTTGTTTTATAATAATTCATACAGTGTGCATTTCCATAATGACTTATTTTTCTATCTTATTACCATTAATCCTTATCACTATCAAAACCTATTGAATTTTGAGCCAAAACAAATGAAATTAATAGTGTTTTGATTATTTCCAAACTTCTATAGTGTCATCAAATTTAAATATGCAAGATTCATATGAAGTCAGATAACTTAAGGATATAAAATGTCTAAAAATGTTGAACCTTAGAAGAAAAATCTTGTTTGTGTGTTATTTTTGTCTTGTTTTAAAATGGATATTTTTGAAAAATGCGTCGAATTTTATTGTTAACATTCTTTTCAGATCTTTATCATAAAATGTATTGTGCATATCATGGCTTATTTAAATATCCATATTTGGCATATTTAAGCAGACAAATGGTGTCCTATCTTAACTAAGAACACACAGAAACATTCTTTAATATTTTTATTAAATATTTTTATTTTAATATACTTTAATATTTTTGTTAAAAAATTATTTCAAAAATGATCAAGGCATCTTACAACCACTTGCTCACCCAAAGGAAGACACCCATACAAGGCTGCATTAATGTTCCAGCCCCAGCTTCTGAAAGAAAAACCAGGTCTTCACAGTCTTTCAGAAAATCAACAGAATTGGAGCCATCCAAATCTCAGGATAGAGACTGTTCCATAGAGCACATATGACAGAAGAGGCACACTTCCTTGGTCACATTAGATGCAATGTTTTGCAAAAACTATTGCAAAAGGTGAAGCATGCCCATCTTGCCAAATCTAGGGGAAAAAGCAAGCATTACTGGAGGCAGATGGTCCTGCAAATAACCTGGTCTTATGCCTTGTAGAGCTTTAAAAGTGACAGTTTCTTGAAGCCAGTACTATTCTTATAGCATGAATATGAGATTATCCTATACTTATAGTAGCAGCGTTTATGCCCTAAACTACATTCATTCATTGCTATATTCTGGACTAATGAATCTTTCAAATGTTTTAGGGGAAATCCATGTACACTGGATTAGTGCAATCAGAGAATAATTTAAAGACACGAGTGATCATGAGCAGTGCCTCCTAATCCAATAACAAGCCCAGCTGGTGCACAGAATGAATTTGTACCAAAAACCCTTTTTGCCACACTGCCCACCTGCTCAGGCAGGAGCTATGAGATCAGAAGGACCCCAAGTTGCATACCAACTCTATCTGGGAGAGTACAACCCTGTCCAGAATTACAGTAATAATTTTTAAAAATGCAGAATTTGTAGATCTAGAGGGCCCTAAAACTACAGGCACCAGTGAATGAGTTCGCCTAGCAGCTTTATATTCGCGCTAGGAAAAGTGGAGAAGAAGTGAACCCTGGAAAAGAAAATGTTGGAGATAGGATGAAAATGGCCAGTGTGGTGGATCTAAAGGTGGCTTTTAAGAAGATATTTATTTATTTATTTTATTTTATTTATTTTATTTATTGATTTATTTTAAAGGTTTTGGATACTCTTCTAAACATATAAATCTTTTGCCCTTAAGGGCTTTGGATATTTAACATTTTAGCCAGCATCAAAAGATAGAAAAGATTCTCTGGAATTTCCTGACATTCAAATCACTGGGCAATAAGAATTAGATTGATTCAGTACCCAGTACTGATTATTAATTTTTTGAGTGTCAATCGATTTAACAGATTGTTAAAGTTATATTGCTTAGCTGATTGATTTGAATTCCAGTATTATCAAAAGACAATAATTTGTTACAGGTATATCCCATTTTTTTGTCTAAGAATCCAGTCGATAGACATAAGAATTTCTTCTTAATTTTATCTCTTATTTTACCCTCAACAGTTTTGTGAGATAGGTTTTGCCAGTTACTATGTTCTACTCAGCAACTGTGAATAGGGATTTGAACTTGATTTCCTGGCCAACATTTTAACTATTTTGTTATGTCTGTTAATTAAAAACAGATAGTATCAAATATAAACAAAGTTGCACAATCTTTTTCACACTTGTTAGTTATATATAAAACCTATATGCATATAAAATTAAGCATATCATTCTGATTAATAAATATTTTATATTTTTCAATCTTCATGAACATTTAGCATAATCCTACATTGTTTTAGATTATGATGCATGGACTCAGGACTCAAATAATTAGTTTGCATTCTTATGTTTAACATTTAGGGCATTCTGAAATGAAGATAAACTGGAAACTAGATAGAACCTCAAGACCAGGTTCAGCAACAGTTAGGGTTACAGATCTTGGCTGGCAAGGTCTCCTGAACCCGAATCCATCTATTAAAGAAGATGAAGAGCTCCTTGTGGATGAATATCTTTCTCCCCACAAGCTGGTGAGTATATACTATGTTATTGTATCTATATTCGATACATTAATGTCCATTTCACTACTTTGGCTATCTGAAAATATTACAGTTAGATGGAGCCACTGAATATTGTTTTGAATAATTTGCTTTTTTCATAACCATACATTTGTTCAGACTGTGTGATTGGAAATCACATGAGGCCTATTTTATATTACACTAATTTCTATTTAGTTATTAAAGACTCAAATTAGGGAATATTTTAATATAATTAAATTTGTAAATATGATACACCAATGGTTTATGTTTATGATTTGTTTACCATGCTAGTAGGATTAACCTATTTTAAAATAACTGATCTGGAATATCCGAGTAGTTCTACTAGTTACTCTTTTTAAAAATGCTTTGTACTCCTTAACAGCTTTTAAGAAATAATTTCATGTTGGCTTTATGTTCTGTTGCTAATTTCCTCATCCACATGTGTTTAAATAAGAACACTCCAGAATACTGGGCAAGATCTAACTTCATCTCTGCCCACAGAAGCATTCCCTGTATAATTCTATGCAGCTCATTCTTGCTAGCAAGTTAGAAGACGAGGTGATCTTTTTCTTTGTCGGACTCCAATGCTAAAAAGTTCTGGAGTCTCCTCAGTCTCCAGAACACATTTTAGGATGATGTTGAGGATCTCAGATTGAACAGAAAAGATAATTAACATTTCCTCAGTAGGATTTTTGTTCTCTCTGAGCTTGGTTGTTTGCTTGCAGATTGTCCCAAATGTGCTTTTTCAAGAAGCAATTGGACTTTCTTGGTTTTTCTTTGAAGATATTTCGCTTCTCATCCAAGAAGCTTTTTAAGCTCTGGATAGGTTCTTGCTTCTTGGAAAAGAAGCGACATGTCTTCAAAGAAAAATCAAAAAGTCCAGTTGCCTACTGAAAAAGCACCTTTGAGACAATCATGACCTGGACGACTGAGAATGTCCATAGACACTTTTCTTGCAGATGTTTCATTGCCCAACTAAGCAATATCATCAGTGCTAGGAGGGGTGGATGTTTGCTTTCTGTTTATATGCAAGTGTATGTTATAATCTTGGTGGGATTGTTCTTGGTAATTCCTTGATTGGGCTGTTGTTTACTGTTCATTTGTTTGTCTGAATTGGTAGTTCCTTGATTGGGGTATTGTTTATGCTTTATTGTTGGCCTGGTAGTTAATCAGGCCAGTGTCAATCTTTGCCTGTCTGGGTATTGATTGTTGAAGAGGCGGTATTTTGGTCTTTTTGTTTCTTTTTTTTTTAGTTTTTTGATTGGCTCTTTTGAATGATATGTAGATATTGTTTATCTCTATGTCCCAGTTGATGGCTAATTTGTCTAAGTACTAAGCTTTCAGGAATTCTCTAGTGTTTTTGAACTTAACTTGGTCTAGGTTGCTCACAGTTTCCCAATTGAAATTATGATTAACTGAGTTTATGTGTTGTGTGATTAGGGAGTTTTCATCATGTCTTCTAAACCGCTAATTGGTATTCATTGATGCCCTCTGCTAGAGTTCTGCCTGTTTATCCTACATAATGGCTGTTACAGTCCTTACAGTATATATTGTACCTGACTCCTGTTTTTCCTTCTGGGAATCCTGGGTCTTTTGGGTTACTTAAGATGTTTTGGAGGGCTTTAGTTGCTTTGTGTGCTACAGTGATGCCATGTGGTTATAAATGACTGTTGGTTGTTTCTGAGATGATTTTGATGTATGGTAAGGTTATCCTTTTCATGGCTTGTGCTGTTTGTGTTGTAATGGATTAAGTGGTCATGCACTTTATGATAATTTTATTAGAAGGTGTTATATAGATATTCTATTTTCTTTTTCTGATGTTCAAAGTTGCTGCAATGTTTTTGAGCTCATTTGGTGTTCTTTCAGAACTTCTCTTGTGGGCGATCGTCTCTGTTCAACAAATTTATAAACATTCACATTCTTTTAATATTTAAATGTTTTACGTTGGTAAAACAATAGTGCTGCATTCTCTTTGATGAGAATGAGGCTAAAGTTCATCATGATTTTTTTTTATTCTATTATATCATGCATTTTTTATTTGGTTAACTAATTAAAGCCTGAAAAAGCCTAAGGTGCAGTTCATGTCCTTGGCAGTAGGGTACTTAGTTGATAGCTTGTACTTTGTTGTGAATCAGACATAACAAGCCAATATGTAGTTTTCTCTGTGGGAAAGGAGTTTGAGAAATCCTTTGTCTTCTTTTTTAAGGCATATAATTGGGAAAATTTTCTTTATTTTGAAAAAGTGAAGTTTGATATAGATGAAAACTTTTTCCTCTTGTGTCTGTTGATGAAAAGTAAAAAAACTTGTTGCTTAGGAAGCCAAAAGGAATGCAGGTGAGAAAAATGCTAAAATAAATGAAATGATATAGTCAACATCTTTATTAAACTGGCAACCTTTTTATATTATTCCAATTTCTAAAGCAAATATATTTAACATAAACTTCTGGTTTTAAAAAGTGCAATTTAAGGGATCTAGAATGTGGGGAATGTTGTTCAGAATTTCCATTACATTCTGCCTCCTATGCCCATAGCTACTACAATTATTTACTGAGTTGTGTTCTAAATCAAATGTCAGATGTCATGCATGTAACCTTCCAACTCATCACTCACCTAGCTGCATTGTTCTACCACTGTTTCCTTCTGCTTTCATATCTTTTCTTGTATTTTCTGGGACAAAAACAATGCCATTATGAACCAAATGCTCAGCATTCAGACCATCCACATAACAGTAGCTAAATTGGGACATCAGTGATTTGCTGAGCAGTTCTAAACGTTCTGTGAAAAGTATGACATTGTTAGGATTTCCAGGTTTTTTTTGTTTTTTTGTTTAAATTTGATTTATATGCCGCCCTTTTCCGGAGACTCAGGGCGGCTTACAATGCGTTAAGCAATAGCCTTCATTCTTTTGTATATTTTATACAAAGTCAGTTTATTGCCCCCACAAACTGGGTCCTCATTTCACCTACCTTAGAAAGGATGGAAGGCTGAGTCAACCTTGAGCCTTGGAGAGATTCGAACCAGCAGAAATTGCAGGCAGCTGTGTTAATAACAGGGTGCATTAAACCACTGTACTATCAAGGCTCCAGTTATCAGAATCTGTTCAGTCTTATAGCTTCCTGTCGTCCATGGAGCTCAGTCATGGCATTTTTTCTATCATCTAATGATATATTATTTTATTTGAAAAATGTAGAACATATCCTGCCTTTTCTTTTAGAAAAGGTTAGCATACCTCCTCTCTAATTTCTTTTCCTACAACAGAACCCATGAAGGGGTTCTTTTCTCTTCTGTTCTTTTCTCCCTCAATGAAAAATATTAATGTTTTTCTGTCAATGTCATTTGCCTATTTTGCTGTTGGAAGCATGGGTATATACAGTTAACTTTGTTCTGCAATCATCAGTAAGGAAAAACAACATTTTTATTGGCAAGCCATATCCATTATTTAAAATCACTTCCTTTTCCCACTTGGCAGGGACTTATTTTTAGGTAATAAAAGTAAATGAATTTGACAGGGAGGCCACAGGCAAACTGAACAAGTACAAAAATAGATAATTGGTGAAGCTTTCTGGAAAAAAAGAAGCGCGCTATTTAGCTCGGCATATGCAATCCACAAGTCACAATTAGACAGCATGGCGGCAGTGCAACTGTGATTTTAATTGCACAGTGATGGGAAGTTGTAAGAAATCAAGGACAGATTATCCAGTAACAGATGAAGGCCATGTGCTATAAGATAAATAGTTGGGGGCCAGTAACAGAAACGCAATTAAGAAATAAAGCCTGTTGTTATCATATTGATTGATCGTTGTTATTGCTGCTGAAAACTGAAGTGGAAATGTTGGATGCTGGAAACAGGTTTTAACTGGAATGTAACACAGAGCTGGATCATGTTGGTTGATTTGAACCCAAATCATGAAGATCAATGCTGGCCTCTGGAACTAGATTTCATTTTAGGAGTTGTGGTACACTCTGAGTGTGCTGACAATATAAATCCTTGATAGGATGCTCTCTAGGTAAAATATATTAGTCACGCTAATGATCGAAAAGCATTATATACTTTTCCTGCTTCATTCTGAAAGAATTAGATGACAGCACTATCAGTTGCTGTTGCCAACACCCAGTTGCCAATTCCAGGGATGAAGTGAGATTGTATGTATTTATTTGTGCATTTAATTAATGTGTATGCTACTTAATCACAAAGGGAACTTTAGGTATGTATTATGTACTAGAACAGTGGTTCTCAACCTTCCTAATACCGCGACCCTTTAATACAGTTCCTCATGTTGTGGTGACTCCCAACCATAAAATTATTCCTAAAACCATTGAAAATATGTGTTTTCCAATGGTCTTAGGCGACCCCTGTGAAAGGGTTGTTTGACCCCCAAAGGGGTCCCGACCCACAGGTTGAGAACCACTGTACTAGAATTAAAACATAAGAATAAACACTGGAAATTAATTGGGGAAGAACAAAACAAACTGAACAACAGTTAGACACAAATTCAATTTAATAGCAAGAAATAGTTCATAACCAATCCTGCTCTCCAAAGTTTGCTGGAAAAGCTAGATCTTTAAAGATTTGCAAAAGTAGTGAGTTTTAGAGGAATGCTGTTCCATAGGGCAGACACGGCCACAGAGAAAAGGTCTGTTTCCTTGGACATGCAAGAAGGCATTGCTGTATGGATGAGAGTTGGAGAAAGCCAACCATGCCAGATAGAAAGAATAAGGAAGTGGTAGTCCCATAAGTACTTGGATCCTAAACTGTGAAGGGTTTAAGAGGTGAAAATCAATATATTGTATTTATTTATTAAATGTATATGCCACCCATCTCACCTAGCGCTGACTCTAGGGGGCTTATAACCAAGCAAAAGCAACAAGATAAACCATTAAAATATTGAAATAATAAATATTTTAAATTGATTTAAAATTAATAAAGATGGCAAGGAAGAGAGCAAGATACACATGGAATGGAGGTGGAATCTTTTTGCATCCCAAGCCCCATTGGTAACCATGCAGCTCACAAAATAGAGATGTTACATGGGTAAAATAAGCACAAGATGATTTATGTGCAAAGACCCTCCTGGCCAAAGGGAGTCGAGTATTGAGGAAGACCCTGAATTATGCACCAGTTCCACATGGTAATACAACTCCAGTTTTCAATTATTTTCTATCCCAGACCTGTTAATCCCTGAATATTCATGTTTTCTCCCTTGCTGGTTTGCGTTGGATGTTTTTTTGTGGCTACTGCTAAAACACTAAAGATGTCTTACATAAGTGTGTCATGATTTCTAATGCTGAGTGCATTTCTTCAAAACAAAGTTTAAACTGGACAAGATGTTTTGTTGCATTGTTTTATTCTCTGTTGTAAACCGCCCAGAGTCCCTTGGGAGTTGGGCGGCATAGAAATGCGACAAAATAAAATAAAATAAATAAATGTTTGACTGAGGAATAGCAAAAATAGAGATTTTAACCTTACAGATTGTCTTATTATTGCCTTATCCATGTAACAGTAAAAAATGTTTTCCCTATTTCCAATGATTGTCCATAGGCTGTATAGGGATTTTTTTATATCATGGCTTGACATTATAAATACCGGCTTACACAACAATGTGAAATAGAGTTATCTGACAGTAGGATTAACTTTTCAGGAAATATGCTTATTATGCTTTCAGTGCAGATGTATAAAATAATTTATTGGCTTTTGTATAGCATATGAAATATTTGGGAGAGATTAATTACTTATTTAGTTATGTAAATATTTGGACAGTGTGTAAGACTGTTTCAAGCAATTGCAAGAAACTGACGTGTTTTCCAGAAAAAAAAAGTCCTATGCAAATAAGTATGATAAAAATTAGCATATTTACTCCAGTATTCTTAATCTGCACAACTGTCTAGGCTCTATTATTTAATATGAAGAAAAAAATAAATCTAATATATAAGATCTGAATGCTGCAATTAAAGAAAATAAAATCATTGATGTGTGGAGAAAAAAATATTTTTATTGGGATGTTGGAAATGTTGAGCAACGGGCAGTATAATTACAATTTCAAGTACACTTCTTTTTAGAGCAAACACCTGAAAGATAAATATCATACAACTTTGAAACTGCCAAACTTTACTGAAGTAGAAAATTTCTTTTTTTTTTTATTTATTTGATTTTTATTATAACATATAGTGATACATTCGGTACATTTTCGGTTGATTGGTGCAATTATATACATATGTACATCTACATGCATTATTACTTGTCTTTTATTTGATATTGTTTCTTAAAGCTAGATTTAATTTCAAAACACTTAAAGATAATAGTGCTCAACTCTCTAAGACTAAATATAATACTATTCATATAGATTTTGTTAATTAATTAATATTTAATCTCTATTTCCTTCTTTATTTCTTTTCCCCATCCATTCGTACCACATGTCCCACACGCTATAAAATTCCGAATCTTCTCTGTCATTAATTTCTGAAGTCAATTTGTTCATTTCGGCGCACTCCAATATTTTTCGAATAACATGTTCTTGAGGTGGTATTTGTTTTTCTTTCCAATACTGGGCAAAGGAAATTCTAGCGGCTGTCAGAATATGTATAATTAAATACTTTTTCTTTTTTGCATGAAGTAGAAAATTTCATGGCCTACACATCTGCCTAGAAAATGAATTAGCAATTCAAAAATTCACATAACTTGAAAAGTTCGCAGTAAGTTCTAGCATAGTCCCAACCTTTCTGACTTGGTGGACCAGCTGGGGGGAGGCCGGATGGTTCCGTGCAAGCAGCAGGCGCACATGCTTGTGTGCACAGCTCCATTTGCGTGAGCGGCAGGTACGAGCACTCAACCCTCATGCAAATGGAGCTTTGCATATGAGTGCGAGACCCACTACTCACACAAGTGGAGCTATGTGCAACCTCGCCTGCTTCTTACAGCCCGGTTTCAAACGGGTTGCAGCCCATTAGTGGAGCATTTTTTTAAAAAAAGCTGTTGCAAAATAGTTGTGAGGTTATTACATTCTAAGAACTCAGCAGTATAATTTCTATGTTTTATATATTTTATTATTATTATTTTCATACATGGTTTTGCTGTTAGAATTTTAGCAAAGTGTACATATGTGTGGATAAATATTCCTTTTAGTTATGTACATAAATAATGGGGAAAAGAAAGAGTTGAATGTTTCTTTAATCTTTAAATATTTTATTGACTTTATATACATACATATATATAAAATACATAAAATATAGTAACAATTCTATTTAACATCGGATATGCAGTGTTTAGAGTTGAATGTTTCTTTCTCCACCCAACTTGCTTCAATATTATTTTTTGTCCTAGATACTCCTATTAGCAATTATTATAATTAAAGAAGTAGCTTTTATTTCTATTACTGGTGAAATAGTAGCATTTCTTTTGCCAGGTTTTTAATTGTAAATAATTTTGTATATATTTTGTTATTAATTTTATTCTGTATTTTTAAATTCTCATATTGCTAGGAAACCTAGCCGTTACCCAAGCAGCATGACTATAGAGCAGTTGTTTATTTTAATAATATATTTGGTATTACATAGACATATCTGCCTTCTTGTGTTATATTAAAAGTTAATGCAGGAATTAGAATTCAAAACTAATATTTGACTTCCTAAATTTTCTGTTTCCGAATAAATTTTAGGATGAGAGTTGTTTCTTGAAGTACTGTGATAGTGGACCCATAGTATATATTTATCTTTTTGTTTATTATTGCAGAAAGCATTGACAGGGCTAGATGATCTGTGGCAACTGAAGGCCCTCGAGATGCGTGTAAACACCAGAGAGAATAGTCTGGGAAATTTTGGTGAGAGAAATTTTTATTCTGTCTAAGATTATTCAAACCTTTCAATGAGCATAAAGAATATATCTCAATATTAAAAGCATTAATTTTAAAAAGTATTCCCTTAAAAATAACATTGGGAAACTCATCCATCATTTTCTCTCAGCCCAACTTACCTCACAGGATAGTTGTGGGGAAAATAGGGGGAGGAAGCATATTAAGTGTGTTTGTCACCTTGAGTTATTATAAAAATAAAAAGATGGGTTATAAATAAAACTAACATGTAAGAGCCATTAATGAACCAATAGTTGTATTTAATATTGCCTTTGGAAAATTCATTAAATTGATTTTATGTCTGAAGCTGTTGTCTTATCTGGGTAAAAAAAGTGTAATGATAGAAAGTGAACTTGATCATTTCTAGAAATAAAAAAATACATCTATCAAGTAAAGGAAAATATTTGAAATTTGTTTTATAAATTCATTTTTTTAGAACCGACTCAATGGAACATTTTCCCCTAGTATTGGTTATGTCCTAGAAAGGGCTCATATAATCCTATCATAAGTGTAATTACAATGACAATAATAAGCAAATACTTGTACAAAAGAATGACCCACTGAAGTTCTGTGAAAAAGCATTCTCCCTTCAGATTTTCTGAATTCTTATATTTTTCCCCCAGAATGTTTCAGACTTCCATTTTAAAGACCCTTTTAAACTAAATTATATAACATGATTAGAATGATGATGTGTGTAAAATTATTAACATGAAGATTAATCAATATTATGATATTATAATTATGATGATTATTAGTAGTAGTAACATATGTTTAAGTGATTAAGTCTGTTTCTTTTATTTTTGAATGTAACTTTAAGAAGTTGTATAGTTATAGTTGAAAGAGATATTAATTGGAAAATACCCATATCCGGTAGGTATTAGGAATATTATATACAACAAAGAAAAGAAGAGGGAAATGGAGTGGAGTGGAAGGGAGTAGGAGAGGAGGGGAGAAAGAGTAAGGGTAGAGAGGGGAAAGGAGAGAGGGAAGTGGAGGGGAAGAAAAGAGTAGAAAGGGAAGTAGAGGGAAGCGGAGAGGAAGAGAGAGGAGAAGGAGAGGGAAGTAGAGGGAAACAGAGGAGAAGGAAGGAGGGAAGTAGAGAGAAAGCGAGGGGAGAAGGGGAAGAGAAGGAGGAGAAAGAAGAGGAAAGTAGATGGATTGTTTTTGTAAAATTGGGTGAAATGGTGTGCAGGAGAAAAGAAAACAGATGGGCAATTTCGTATTTTTTTCTACTTGAAGTTATACTATTGAAATTATAACAAAAGATAATACGGTGGACGTTAAAGCATATCGGTTTAGATGTTATTGCATACGTTAATATTTATATGAAAATAAAAAAATTGTGTAAAAGATAGGGATAAATAATATGGAATAAGGAAAATGGAATGTAATAATTATGAATATGTTTATCTGTATTGACATGTATGATACTCAAACACCACACCATCCACATAATGATATGCATAAATTTTAAAAAAATAAAAACTTGGAGGAAAAAAAACTAAATTGTATAACAAAAATGATACAATATAGAGCCTTTAGTAACCACTTGGTTTATTTTTTTGTAAAAAAGAATATAATTTATTTTATGTATTTTATTTTATGCAATATCTTAACAACCAGTCTCTATACAAACTTGCTAGTCCAGAATTTTCTTCACTATGAAGTGGTCAGGAGCAAGTGGATTTCCAACCAATGAAATTTTATTTTTAAATATTCATTGTTATTATTTCCACTTTTTGGATTTATTGTGTGAGATTATGTTGCTTAGCCCAGCATATGTGGACTCATAGTTGCCCTCAAGGCTTGTACCTATTGTAATCTTTCTGAATATTAATACTCACAAATGATAATACAAGTAGCAGCGTATATTTTAATGAACCAGTTATTTTTCAGCCATTCATCTGTTTTTGCAAACCAGCTGATTCACAATCAATCTGGTCAACCACCTGGTGTTGACCTGCAGATCATCTGTGTTTTGTGGGCTATAATTTGAGAATTACTGTTTTAAGATAAACTGTCTGTAATGATGTTTTTATTTTAATTGTAAATTGTTTGATTTGTTATATGTGATCCATAGTTTACTACATATTGAAACAGTATAATCTACTAAAACAAAATATTTAAAAATAGATCAAAAGTAGATTAAATGTCTTTACCAAGTTCTTTTCAATTATGAAGATAATTTGAGGAATTGTTAAAGATGCCTTAATCTGCAAAACAGTTGCTTATTTGATATTAAAAGTTCACTGTGCCAACAAGCGTAAGGCAAATAGGACTTGTCAGAGGAATTCTACAGTTAAATTTCCTCATGTCTGAGGGGGAATTTGAAATGCTGTCTGTCCATATAAGTTTGTCAGTGAGTGGACTGAAGTGAGTCTATCCTTTTACATACTGAATTTCTGGGGGTGTACCCTGAAGAGCTTGCTCATTTGTTGATTGTGTGTACTTGAAACAGAGCAAACAAACAGCACTTCTATTTTTTATATAAACTAGCTGGTATCAAGAAAGCAAGCAGATACTGTAAATATAATGGAATTAGTTGACAAGAAAAGTTCTTAAACAAAATTCTCTATAAAATAACCCAGAAGCGAGCATTAAAATTAGATATACACCACCTGTCAGATTATTGATTCAGATGGCTGTTCCTGTCCTTACTTATAGGTAGATTATAAACTTTCTGACAGATAGAAAGCAACAGGTGAACAGCTAGAGAAAATCACATTGAATACCCGAACAATTAGCACAGGCATCCCTGAAGGCTGTGTGGTCTCTCTGTTACGCTTTTCTCTATATACCAATGACTACATCTCTATGGATCCATCTGTTAAAGTTTTAAAGTTTGCAGATAATACAACAGTCATTGGTCTCATTCAAGACAATGATGAGTCTGCATATAGATGCCCTGTGGTGCAGCCAGAACAATCTGGAGCTGAACATGCTTAAAACTGTAGAAATGAGAGTGGATTTTAGGAGGAGCTCTTCTATTTTACCACCCCTTACTATATTCAACAGCACATTATCAACAGTAGGGTTCTTCAAGTTTTTGGATTCTATACTCTCCCAGGATTTGAAATGAACACCTAACATTAGAACAAACCATCATTAAAAAGGCACAACAAAGAATGTTCCTCCTGCATCAACTCAGAAAGCTCAGACTGCCCCAGGAGCTGTTGATACACTTCTGCAGAAGAATTGTTGTTGTTTCTATTTTTGTAATTGTTTGTAATTGTATTTTTGTATTTCTATTTTTGTAATTGTACAGCAACCAAACAGGACAGATACAGACTTCAACAGATAGTTAGGCTCAGAAGGAGGGCTGAGAAAATATCTACAGACCCTCACTTCCTGCACATAAACTGTTTCAATTCCTCCCTTTGGGATGCCGCTATAGGGCATTGCATGCCAAAATAACTAGACACAGAGACAGTTTTTTTGCCTCATGCCATCACTTTACTGAATACCTAATTCCCACAGTACTGTTTTATGTATATTTACCCATGTAGAATGGCTGTATTACTATTATCCTTTTCATCTTTTCTTCTACCTTCTCTTCTTGGTATCATTATTATGATTATTATTATTCCGTTGTTTTGCATGTACACTGAGAACTACTGCACTGGAGACAAATTCCTTGTGTGTCTAATTGCACTTGGAGAAATAAAGTATTCTATAAGGGCCATTATGCTGGCAGTATAAACATAGCTAATGAATAAGTTTCTTTGGGTAGTGATCTACAATTTATGCATTACGCTTACTTTCTTGTCTGAAAATAATATAGCCTATATCAAGGTATGGTTTTATAGGAAAAAAACAGAAAGATATGAGTAGCAAGTGGCACATTAAGGTGGGATGCAGTTTTCTTGAGGGAATACAAATTGAGACAATAAGAACACCACAGAGATGACACTGAGGGAGAAATGGAAAGGAAAAGAAAGGAGGGAGTCAACTGTGTGGGTTAGAAGAGCAAAATTAGAAGGGTGATGAAATTTCTGAAAAATCTATATTTTTAATTGTTAGTTTAATTAGTAATTCAGTTACTACTCTTTTTCTGAAAATTCTGGAACATTCTAAAATGTTTAAAGATTCAGAGACTTTAAGCCAATGAATTAATTTTGTTGTGTACATCACGCTTTCTAGCAAAAAGTACTTTTATATCGGAAAAAGTTACTTTGATCATGGGGGGAGGGCATCTCTAAATCCCAGATTTAATTTTTTTTAAAAGTTAACTATAGATGTCTTTCAACAATTATAATGCAGCATCAATATAATATAATATAATTCCCAGTTGCCACTTTTAGTGGATTTGGCATAGTATTACCATTAAAAGGAGAGTTATTAAACAATTTCAATGTTTAGATAATACTAATGAAACTACTACTTATAAGCCATAATCCTCAAATATCTGTTCGCAACATGGGGCTCAAGGGATGTGCTGAGAAGATTCCAAGCCAGCATGGCAGTTAGCCAAGTTGCATGTTTAAGAACTATTATGTCCACCTTCCTTCTCTTTATACAAAATAGCACAATAGCAGTTATACCTACGAGTAGTCTTTGCTTAATGACTGCTCATTTAACAACAATTTACAGTGGAGTTTTAAGCTATATTGAGCTGTGGTGGTGCAATGGTTGGAATGTAATACTGCAGGCTAACTTACTTCTCACTCGAGGAGTTTGATCCCGACCAGCTCAAGATTGACTCATCCTTCCAAGGTTAGTAAAATGAGGACCCAGTTTGTTGGGGGCAATATGCTGACTCTCTAAGCCATTTAGAGAGAGCTGTGAAGCGGTATATAAGTCAGCGATTGACTCACATTTATTATCAGTTATGATCAGTGTCCTCAGTCATATAAATACAATTTGTGACTTTTTTCTCATTTTCCACAGAATACGGCAAAAAATCCACTCAGTTGATATGCTGGATTTGCCTAAAAACTACAGGGTTCACTTAATGACCATGTGAATTGTTTAAAACCATGGTGACGTGCTTTACAACCATCCTAAAAAGAGTTGTAAAACAAGTTCAGTAATGGGAAAATGCAGGGCCGGATTTTCCTATAGGCTAACTAGGCTTCAGCCTAGGGCCTCAAGATCAAGAGGGGCCTACATTCAAATTGTTAGCAAAATTAAAATTACACTATTCTAAAAACAGTGAACACTAAAACACTGAACCGAAAATAAGGAGAAATTCTACGCATATGACTAATAAACAAACATAAAAATGTAATTTACAAACTTAAAAATGGGAGGTGAAAGGGCCTCATAAGTGGAATAGCCTAGGGCCTCTTTTCATCTAAATCCGGCCCTGGGAAAATGTTATATTTTATGTCAGTTACTAGTGGCCTAAAATATAGTCGGACATAGAATGCATCATTTCTAGGCAACTTTGGTAAGAAATGTTTTTGTCAAAAAAATTAGACATCAGAAATCAGTCAAATGTCATGGTAAACAAATGTACAAACTGTGAAATTAAAATAATTGAAATTAGATGTTTGAGAGGATTACAACATATATATTTGCTTATATTCATTTTTCTTTCCTGATTTTACAGGTTCTTACCTCCCTAATCTGAAACAACTAAAACTGAATGGAAGTATACTTACATCTGTGAGGTAAGAATAATAAACTGAGCAGAGATGTGGCTCCTTGCTGACTTTGCAGAACTCAGATGAGCCTGAAATTTGGATGAAGAGATATCCGGATTGCTTATAAATTTGTAGATGACACAAAATTGGGTGGAATTGCTCATTTCTAGAGCAATAGAAATAAAATTCAAAATGCTCTTGATAGGTTGGAGAAATTGATTCCAAATAGAATGAAATTTAACAGAGACAAAGAATTCTTCATTTAGAAATCAGATGTCAAATGAATAGAAATAGAATTAAGAACATTAGCTTTGTAATAGTACTTGTGAAAAAAATCTTGAAATAGTACCAAGTAGTTGATTTCAAAAAGACTATGAGTCAGCAATATTATGTGCTGCAAAAGTGTAAAATATATTTTTATATTTTACTATATTAACAGAAGTTTAGCTTCTAAACCAAAGGTAATTAGGTCCTAAATTGAATACTGGGTCCAGTTCTGGATATCACATTTTAACAAATATGCAGGCAAACTAGTATAGGTTTTGAGAACGATGAAGATGATTGGGGATATTACATACTACAAAGAGGGACTGGGGAAATTAGGAATATATAACTCTGAGTATAATAAAACCAAGGATGGATATGATAGTATTCCCCTTCAAATTAAAGATGTTATATAGATAAAGGTCAGAACCCGTTCTGTTTTTCCAGAGTTCAGCAATTGTTAAATGTTGGGATTTTATGTTTTATAAAACACACTTGTTTTAGTTATGAATTCAGTAAAAGATTCCATTGTTTTGATACCATAGTAAACAAAATCCATGTAATATTTACTGCATATATATGCAGTAAAAATGATGTATTGTCATTGCAACCAATTTCCTGATGTAATCAACTTTTATGTTCCAGATTTAGTACTCTTAGTACTAAATACTTAGTACTTAGTACTTTTAGTACATAAAAGTAAAGTCTGCCTCAAGTTGGGCTTGACTTCTAATGGCTAAGGGTGTATGTCTGTGTTATTTCTTTGGCAACAATGTGGACATGGTTTTACAGTGCCTTCTTCTAAAATTTCTTTCTGCTTCCCTGTGTAGGCTACTACTCTGTAAACTAGTTTAAAAATACTTTCAGGCTATAAAAATAACCACATAGGAAAGCATAATCCTAACTTTCTCTTAACACAGCTCTGCCCTGTACTTGCTTACATGGAGGTGAAATTCATTGAGATCATTGCAAGTTTGCATCTGTCTTTCATTGCTAGAAAAGTTGTTTATTTTACCTCATTTCTTGCCACCTGATTTTTTTTTTTTTGTATTGTTGCTGGTTGTTAACAATACAGTAATTCTAATGATATTGATACCCTGGGAGTTTTTAATTCAGTACAAAACTTGATACGGTATGCACAAACTGTACATGATACAGGTACCATGTCAAATTTTAAAAATTTGATTGGAAAAAAAAATTAAAGATTTGATACCTGTTCCAAAGAAGATCAAGGACAAACAAAATATTTGATGCCACAGTTTACTAATTGTTTTAATATTTACTTAATTTGTATAGCTACTCCCATTATAAATTATACATTTCATACTGAGCCCTGCCATACTGTTAGACTATCTAGATTTCTGCTCTTCCCAAGTTTCCAAAGTAATCTATACTTGCCTGAAATGGTTTGGCCTGGAAAATACCTGAACTTGATGAGAATAACGGTTGCTTTATGACGTGCTCAGTTTTGGTGTCAACATGCTAGGGGAGGAAGTTATCCTCCAAGAAACTTTTTCCATGCACAAAGGGGACAGAGTTCCAAATATGGAATTTGCATCAAGAGCATTCCTCATTGACATCATTAAGTGAATGCAATTAGTTGTTAACCAAGGATCCACCCCAAGCCAAGCCATTCCAGCCTTGGTCTTTCTCAGTTCTAAGCTTCAATAAGGTAAGTGACTGCCATATTCCCAACCCCATCTACCTAGGGCCCAAAGTCTGATCACATGAGTGCAGGAATACTTTTGTGGCCATATCCTCAGGCACAGGTTGTAGTCCCTTCATTTAGCACCATCATAACTTTGCATGGTGGCTGGATGAATGGTCATAAATTGAGGACACTTAGAATGAATTTGTTAAGATGGAATTGCTTAAACTTCTTTATTCCAGATTATTGAAAGGCTAATGGCTCTTTCATCTTGTAATATTGAAATGTTCATTTGTTCTTTGTTTGTCACATTTTACATAATTATCTCTTTGACAGTGCCCTTTTATTTCTACATGAATACATATATACAGTTGCATAATTGTTGTGATTTGTTAGTGTCAGTTGAAACTAGTGCCAATGCATAGTTCAAACTAAGCAAAACTGTCCTGATAGGGACATTCCAGATGTTTCATTACCCAAACTAGGTAACATCATCAACAATTAAACTCAGAAAACACCCTCATTTCAATCCTGAGTTACAAATATTCTCCTTTACTAAAGACACTCCATTTTTTTTCTTTGACCTTTTCTTTTTAACTCTCCAGATTAGATTTTTTTTTTTAAAGTATTTCAAGTTTTGGCCAGCTGATAAACACTGAAATAGCAATAGCAATAGCACTTAGACTTATATACTGCTTTACAGTGCTTTACAGCCCTCTCTAAGCGGTTTACAGAGTCAGCATATTGCCCCCAACAATTTGGGTCCTCATTTTACCCACCTTGGAAGGATGGAAGGCTGAGTCAACCTTGAGCGTGGTGGGATTTGAACTGCCAAATTGCAGGCAGTCGGCAGTCAGCAGAAGTAGCCTGCAGTACTGCACTCTAACCACTGCGCCACCAAGGCTCTTGGTGGCTTTGAGTTTTTTGTTTCTTTCTTTGATGTTAAACAGCATATTTTCATTAACTTCTAAAGATGAACCTACTCCTTTGATAGATAATGGTGAATCCTGGTGTTTGTTCTTTTAAGGGACCTTGGAACAGCACTGCCTCGTCTTCAAGTCCTATGGATGGCTCGCTGTGGGCTCCCAGATTTAGATGGGATCTCTTCCTGTTGCTCTTTGAAGGTAGGAGAGTCAAAGACTTAATATATCGTTTTGCTTGACGTTTACATAGTGCACAGCCCTTACTACTTTGAAAGAAATTAGGTCTCAAATCCATGTTAATTTACAGTAGCGTCCAGTTTAAGACCAAATTCCATTCCCAAGGTCCATCCTTAACTCAAATTTGTGTGTTAAGGCGTAACACAATTATTGTGTTAATGCTGGATAATGCTGCATAAGTAGTATTGTGTAATTATTGTGTTAATGCTGGATAATGCTGCATAAGTAGCATTGTGTAATGAACTTAAACTTTTGTGTGTTTAACTTGAATTTTCCTACAGTAGGCTCATTCTCCTTATACGAGGGTGTCCTTAATCCAGGGATTGGCTGTATTTTAAAAAAAAATTATTGCATTTTAAAAAACGTATACATATAGGTAAAATCTGATTCGTAAAATACTGCCTTGTCCCAGGGCTGTCTTAACGCATGGGCCTGATGGGCACTTGCCCGTGGGCTCCACGAGCATAGGGGCCCCATACTAATCTGTGTATGTTAACCCTTCAATGCACCTTGTATCATATAAATACAGCAACATATTTATTACATTTTACTGTATTTTTTTATTAATGCTAACATGCAAATATATATTTAATTTTATCGACCATTTACATTTTTATTCCTGTGAGTAGTTGTCATAGGGGCTCCAGTACACTGCTTTGCCCAGGGCCCATAATGCTGTTAAGACGGCCCTGCCTTGTCCAATGGCATTTTACTTAAAAAGAAGTATCGTAACTGTCAGATGGGAAGTTGAAGTAATGTCTCCAATGAAGACAATGGCAAATACTTCCTTCTTGGTGCTAAGAAAACTACATACAAATGTATTTGTGAAATCACAAGGAAAAGAACTTGGCCTGAAGATTTTCCATAATTATCATTAAGGAGCCCTGGTGGCACAATGTTTGAATGCAGCATTGCAGGCAAGCTCTGCCCGCAGCCTGGAGTTCAATCTTGACTGGGCTCAAGATTGATTCAGCCTTCCATCCTTCCGAGGTGGGTAAAATGAGGACCCAGATTGTTGGGGGTAATATGCTGACTCTGTAAACCTCTTAGAGAGGGCTGTAAAGCACTGTTGGGCAATCTATAAGTTTAAGTATTATTGATGATGACAATGATGATGATGATATCGATAATATCCATTCAGTTGTGTCTGACTCTTAGAGATTCTATGAGCCATAACAGAACCAGAATTTGTTAATTCAGTAGCCAAGTCACAATAAATTTAAAGTGAAAAAAAAGCCAAACCTGTGGCTTATTCTATGAATCAAAAATTGCTTCAACTTGATCTCTCATTCTAGAATATGGGTGTCAAACTCGATCGCGTCACGTGACATATCACAACTTTTTTGCCTTTGCGGAGCCAGAGTGGGTGTGATCTGCACATGATGTGTCCGACCTGTAGGCTACCAGTTTGACACCCCTGTTCTAGAAGATGTATTTTAAAAACAGGGATGGTTTCTAGTTTTTTTATTGGCAAACCAGAAATAGTCTCATTTTCTTAATAAACCAAAATTTTAAATCATGGTTTGTTTTTAATCTTCTAAATTTTGCAATACTGGGCATAGACCATAGTTCCTATTTTTCCTATTATCTGTTGCATAATACTAAAGAAACCATGGCATATTGCAGATTTTATGTTTATTAGCCATATACTGTATGCTAGGAGTAAAAGCCTATGACAACAAACAAGCAAATGAAGCTCATGCTGCTTATTTATAAGAAAGTCTGGGAGACTTCCTTTTACTATTATGTCTTAATTGTTTATGACTTATTATTTTTATTTAATATATCACATTTCTCCTTAATATTGAAAGAGTCCTTCAATTTTCTTTAGGAACTCTACATAGCCTACAACAATATTGGTGATCTAAGTCAGATTAGCCTGCTGGAGAACCTTGAAATTCTAGATTTAGAAGGAAACAACATTGAAGATCTTAGTCAGATTCAATACTTGCGGCTCTGTACTAAGCTGACCAATCTTACAATAGAGGGAAATCTTATTTGCTTGAAGCCAAGCCCGCAATCTTCAGAGGTGTGTGCTAATATGCTACATGTAATCTAATATGTATCTTGCTGATTTATCTCAATGCAATCATTAATGAGAGCTGTGGTTTAATGCAGCAAAGTTATCTTTGTGAATTTTGCCTTGGAGGAACTGTTTCCCAACCTGGATGAATAGGTAAGTGGCATACTATAACTCTTAATACAGAGAAGAAGACTTATACTTCAAATCATTAATCTTGGAGATTTCCAGCACTTTATTCAGCATTCTGAAGACAGAACACTGCAGTAACAGCATAGTTGCTAGGAGAAACCCTAGTGAAATCAGTACAGTACAGTACAGTACAGTTCAGTGAAATCAATACAGCTTGTGGTCATTTAGTAAGATTATACACTGCTCAAAAAAATAAAGGGAACACAAGCAGAAGACATCCGAGATCTGAATGAATGAAATAGCCTTATTAAATAGTTTGTTCGTTACATACAGTAGTTTTGTGTTCCCTTTAGTTGTTTGAGCAGTGTATAAACTACTGTATGTAAAGAACAAAGTATTTAATAAGGCTATTTCATTCATTCAGATCTCGGATGTCTTCTGCTTGTGTTCCCTTTATTTTGTTTGAGCAATATATTTTGAAACAGCAAGGAGAGATATGTATACTAAAAATTACCCTTTTTAAAACAATTTTCTTCATTTCTACTACTGAAGTTCTTTTGTGGCCTTGCAAATGACTTCTGGAATTCTCAAGAGTTTGCAATGCTAAGGGGAGACTGCCATGCCTGAAGCAAAGCAGCATGTATTTTTGTATGCAGAGTACGTAATGCAATCAAGCAGAACAAACTGAAATATAATAAAAAGATGATATAGAGTTTTGGTTGAGGGTTCTAATTTGAAGCTGGGTTGAGGTTATATCTTGCAGTCAATGCAATCCTCCTAAATCACTTTGCAACTCATTTTTTTCTGTATTAATCATTGCTCTTAAAAGCCAAATGGCAGTTGCGGCCAGAATCCTTTTTCATCAATTTCAGTGGGTTTGCTAGATGTGCCTGGCCATTGTCAATTCTTTCCCAGGAAGAACTGCTATTCCTTCCAAATGAATAGGCAAGTAGCACATTACAAATGTGATGTAGATAAGATTACTTTTTCTTTAATATCCAGTTAGATTTATTAAAATAGATGCTGTTGGAATGGCTTTTGATGACTACTGATATTTAGAAACTCAGAATTAAGGTGATTATTTTTTTTTTACTCTATTATATTAAACTCCCTGTAAAAAATTAAAACAGTAGTAAAAAACAATAATAAACATGGTAAACTTCAGCTATATTTGTATAAAGCATGTAATTGTAATGTTATTTCACTTAAATAATGGCCCCAGTTAATTTCATGTTATTACCTTAACACCTCTAAATTGCCTGAGACTAAGCTATATTAGGATCTTCCATGTGAGCCTACTATCTATTCATATCAATAATACAAGGCCCAGTATTTTCATGTGTGTGTGTCTTTATATATGTGTGCGTATTTATGACTTTTGAAGAAATTGTTAATAGATAAAAATTGTGTCTGGACAATTATAATGAAATATCTTCTTTTGTGAAAGCATTGTGTTAAACTGATAATATACATACACACATACACTCACACACGCATCATACATCGTTGTTGCATTGCTTTGGGGGTTTTCTCCTTTTCTCTTTTTGTTTTTTGTTGTTAAATAAAACTACTTCATATATTTATTCACTATAAAATAAACAATCTGGGTTCATTTTCTATCTTTCTTATGTCTAACAAATACATGGCTCTTTTCAGCCAATTTAATATCTGGTTTATGAGTTCTGTATTTTAGAAAGATTAATAATTATAATTGTTTATTGGATTTTGAGTTGGGCTTTTATCAATTTTTATTGTTAGTATTGTTTTTCTTATCTTAGAAAACTTTATTCCTGACCTGGTATACTCCAATGTTTGGAATTACAATTTCCACATAAGATCATAGAGTTGAAAGTTATTTTAGATGCCATCTAATCTAACCCCTACTCAAAGCATGACTCACTAAAACATATTTTACCACTGGCTTGAAATCAGAAAAAGTTTTAGTTGAAACCATCTGAAAATACTAGATGATAGCAGGCATTTTTAGACATTGTGAAATTGAAGGAACCTCAAAGGTCTAGTCCAAGTAACTGTTAATTGAGGAAATCTGCTCCACCACTGCCCTTACTCAGCTTTTATTTGGACATTTCCAAAGAAATGGAGTCTGTCATCTTCTATTTATATTACAGTGTTTTAATCAAGATCTCTCTTTTAATTTGAAATATTTGTTTTATGTCCTTCTACCTGAAACAGAAATACAGTGTACTTGCTCAAGTAACTAAATGTGATTCTCACAAAGAGAACTTGCTTCTATAGCTTCATCCCCTTCAAGAGATATGTCACTCTTTGGCCATTCTCACCTTCACACATTTTATATTTGGCCATTCTCACCTTCACACATTTTATATTTTTGTACAGTTAGTCCCCTCAGAAAGCTAGAACTATCTTGATGAATGAATAACAATCATCTTGCCGCTTCTGGCTTTTGCTAGAAAGCTAAATAGCAGCTGTAGGGACCAGAAACTACCAAAAACTGAAAGAAAGAAAGAAAGAAAGAGAAAAAGAAAGAAAGAAAGAAAGAAAGAAAGAAAGAAAGAAAAAGAAATTTGCATATTGATTTAAAATATTTTATACTGTCTTTTTAGCTTTTTAAGGTGGTAAGTAGCTACTTAGTTTGAAAAAAATAATAATTATAAACAAGATTTAAAAAACAAAAAATAAATAATGTTGATTACCTTTTATTCAGTGTGAGCAATTAAAGAGGAAAATTTTGCAGAAGTGCTTTCTTCAGTACTCCAAATACTTACTCTTAGTCTACATTGTGGTTGAAGCACAACAGGGGAACTGGACTCTGTGTGTTAGGGGCCTCTTTTGATTCTCACATTAGGGATAAGAGAAGACACGTAGATTGTCCTTTATTGCTGACTTTTGTTATAAGAAAATGTTACAGAGGGAAACTTAGAAAGAGAAGCTCCCACACTTTAGATCAAGGATTGGATTTTTTAGATCAGGGAAAGGGATTTTCTTTAAAAAAAAAAGAATTGTGAGGGCTAGCAAAAGGATTTTCTAGGAAGGACAGACAAAAAAGATGGCTGCAATTTATTTAAATTAAGGCTTAAGCATCTTTGAATTCATGGTCATCCTTGGAGTGGGCTTCTTACCACAGTAACTAGAATGGTTTCTGTTCATACAAGTCATTAAATTGGTTTCATCTAATATTAGGGCCAAATATTGGATAATGATAATAGTCACTGAAGGGGCAATTGCATGGCTGTTTTGTTTATTTGTCAGCAAACTGTGGTTGTGGGTAAAGATGATCTGCAGAGTCTCAAGATTAATCAGGCTAATTTGCCTTTTTTAAAAGATGCAGGTTTTTCTTGTGGTCATTGCCAGACAATTGGGAGGCAGAAACCCAGACCAATCTAGATGATAAATGACATAGACCTCTGGTAGCAGACACTATCTTATCTAAATGTGTTAATTGGAAGATAAAACAAATTTAACAGTAATATATTATGTGGTGAAGATGGGAATAAAGAGGCAGTAGAAAAATCTGAGGGAGAAGAAAAATAGATATTAAAAAGTTGACAAAAGTTTTACGGACAGTATTTCCCAAAAGCAATTTGTTTAATAGTTACCCGAATAAGTGATTAAAGTGATTAAATAAGTGAGTTGAAATGTATTTACATGAGATGCATGTTTAGGGTATCTGTAACTAAATAGTGCCTGGATTTTATTTATTATCATAAAAAGTGCTAATCTTATAAGAAGTTTAGCTATTGTTACATTTATAGTTATTTTCCCATTTTACCTGTTCCTCAGATTGTTTCCTATAAAGGTGATCAAAATAACTAAAAGGAATTCTTTTCTCTGGGGCTTTTTTCTAGGACCCAGATTACAATTACAGAGTTGAAGTGAAAAAACTCATCCCTCATTTAAAATGTTTGGATGAAATACCAGCAAATCAAACTGCTATTCCTTTTCCATGCAAAATGAATAAGGACTGGCTTATTGTCAAGGAATCAATCAAAGAAGGAAGTTTAATTGAGGAAGCTTCAGGTTCAGGTGTGCTAAATTATTTTATAAGACTTTGTTTGATTACCAATAAGAGAAAAGAATATCTGTACATACATACAAAACTGATTATCATTACCAACAATGGGATATGTTTACTTATTTGTCCTATCTGTATGGCCGCCCATTTCACACAAAGTGACCGTGGGTAGCATGAAATAAAATTAAGTATCATTTGGATGCATAAAGAACAGATGTTGGGTAAAGCTAAACACGGTAGCAGTAGAACTGTGCTTTTAAGTATTAAAATATAAATTATGCAAAAATAAAAAAACAAAACACCAACATGTAGACCTACATGTATAACTTATAGATACCGTGGAATAGAGATATCTCCAGGCCATTCTGCTATTTTATAAGAATCACAGAGGAAAAAAACCCATTAATTTTATATTTTTCAGGGGGAAATGCCAAAGTAGTATTGGACTTGGACCAGATTAGGTTCATATTGCCGTTCAGCCATAAATCTCCTTGGGTACTTTTCAGCTGGTATCTGTTTCTCAGCCTATCACATCTTATAGAATTAATATTGTGTTAGGAGATATGCCCATATAAACTATTTTGAAGTCTCAGGGAAAAGATGTGCTATAAATGTAATAAATTTGCATAATTTAAATTTGCTTGGGTGGCATGTTACTAGGCAGTAAGGATGACCATAGATAATTAAAAATAATATTTTCTAATTATATGAGGAATAAAGCACAGGTAAACATTCAAATATACCGTATATAGTCACATATAAACCCATCCTCATATAAGCCAACACTTCAATTTTTAAGCAAAATACCATGAAAAATGTGCCACTGCAGATAAGCTGATCCTAATTTTTCATAGTATTGTTGTTAAAAATTGAGGTGATGGTCTATCTAAGGGGCTTATCCCAGTGATGAAATCTAAAATTTGTTACTACCGGTTCTGTGGGTGTGGCTTGGTAGGGAGGGGGGGTATTGTGACGGTGAGGGTGGCCGAAGAGGTTGTAGAAAAAATGCTTTTAAAAGCCTCTGACAATCCCAGCTGACTTGCCTGAGAGGCTTTTAAAAGAAAGAAAGCCTCTGTCGATCAGGCAACTCAGCTGGGATCGTCAGAGCCTTTTAAAAGAAAGAAAGCCTCTGCCGATCAGGCAACTCAGCTGGGATTGTCAGAGGCTTTTGAAAGCATTTTTTCTACAACCTCTTCAGCCAAAGAGGTTGTAGAAAAAATGCTTTTAAATTTTTTTTAAAAAAGCCTCTGATGATCACGCAGCTCAGCTGGGCATGGGGGGGGCAGGGATTTTTGCTACCGGTTCTCCGAACCACCCGCCTCCAGCGCTACCGGATCGGGCGATCCAGTCCGAACCGGGAGCATTTCACCCCTGGTTTATCCATAAGTATGCTGTATATGTGAACTTTTAAAAAGTATTACAATACTGTACATACTTCTGGATAAGCCCATCCGCAGATAAGCTGAACCTAATAGTTTTTTTTATTTTGCCATAAAATTTCTTGTCTTATCTGTGAGTATATATAGTACTTTCGCTGTTACAAAATTGTTCTAGGGGCCTTTAAGGAGAAAAAGAAATCACTGACATTTCTATAATTTCTAACAAACTATTTTCCCCCAAATTCATAGTAGGAATGTCCCTGTAGGACTGGAGTGGAACAGAACTGTTTTTTCATATAATAATTAGTATGGATAGTCCTCATTTAGTGACCTCACTAACTGATCACAGGTCATTAAGTGAAACCATGACTATGCTTATGATCTTACTTCAGCTTTCCTTTGCTTTACAGACCTGTGAAGGTCATAGATGCAAGGATTGCATTCTCTGTGTTTGTTATGAGGCAGTCACCAATAATGTTATAGTTATTTCCAAGTATTAATCCATATGAGGGGCATATGAATCACAAAGTTATTTTTTCATCACTGTCATAACTGTGAATGGTCACTAAGTGAGGCAATCACTAAATGAAAATTACTTGTATGAGCATACGCCCCATATGCCTCTTGCTTGAGAGCAGCCTCACGAGCCACCAGTCTCCTCAGGAAGTGATCTTGTATGCTGTGGTGAGATCTCACACATTCCCAAATGTGATTTCCCATCAATCTGATTTCAATAATATCAACTTTTTTTTCTTTTCAATCTGCTCTTTTAAGATAGAAGAGTCTTCCGTATCATATTATTTTTCGTCTGAAATCTCCTGATGATTTCCCACTGGGGCTGCCACCGCCATCTTGGCTGCTTATATACGATTTTCCCTCAAACCAGTCATAAACTGATGGGTAGCATATCTTTTAAATTCAGCTACTCCTTGGATCTTAGCATCTTAAATCGACTTCTTCATAGGCTGATTAAGTCTAATAACTCACTCTTTATTTTCTGGGGCATCTCACTGGATAAACTATTTTATATTTTTCCAATTGCATTTAGGACAGAATGCAAATTGTTTCAAGGGTTATATTTAGTTAATTCCACTGTCTGCCCCTCATATGGATTAATGCTTGGAAATAACTATAACATTCTTGGCGACTGCCTTATAACAAACACAGAGAATAAAAATCTATCCTATTATATAATCATTAACCAAATAATTGTTCACCAGGACTGAAATCTCTACTATCCTTTCAAGTGGAGGAGTGGAACTGATGGGAAGATACTGGATTCTTTCTCAACATGCTATTTTTTTCTTCAAAATCCCCAAATTCTTTTGTATACATTTTGCTAATTTGAGGCTGAAGATTGGGAGCAACAGACAGGCCAAGATTTCAACATCTCTCAAACTGCTTTTCATTTCATAACTGTTCAGTTCAAGCTTGTTTTAAAAGACATGGGTCTGTTGCCACCATCCTTTCTTGTTGCTTAAGACCATCTTGAGGTGGCTTTTGACCTTTAACCGAATAGCTTAGAGCAGTAGACTTCTAATGAGGACTGTTGTAACTCTTTAATTAAATTGCTTACAATGAATCCTGATCTTGTGCTATTATTTTTGAGGAAAATGTTGTTGTTCTTTTATAATAAGTTCTGTAGCTCTTACAAAGGACTAAGTGTGATAGAGACAATTTGTTTTGTTTTGAACTTAGAAAAAACAATCCCACCTGGAAAGCTTTGCAGAATGTTTTGAATTAGCTTCGTTCTGGCAAAGCAAAACCAGATCAGCTTGAGGATTCCATTGGGACAGAATTCAAAATGTTCTAGGATGCTTTGGTTTTCACCCAAAAGCTACAAAAAAGGGTGGGATAGCAATCCACGCATAATGCTACTGGCCAACCAATCTGTGGGATATTTGGTACTACGGGATGTGTAGGCAAACATTTACTTTTTTCTTTTAATGATATGTAATCCCTTGCATCACCCCGTCTCCACCCTGATTTTTAGGCAAACACATAAGCATATAAATCAGAGGCAACTCTAATAGAACAAATAACTTTTTATTCTTACTGTGTTAGAAGATGTATACTGTGTATAAGACAAAAAGCAAATCCGTTCTCAGCATTTGTTAGTTAGCGGTTAATTAGCATCTCCCACCTTCCTAGTCTCATTGGCACCAAGCATAATTTCATTTCCAGTCTTCAACTATACTGTAAGGAAACCCTATAGATTCTATAATGTTTCCTTAAATGCTTCCAAGCATTACTGGTGGATTGTGGCTGCTGGTGGCTGCGAAAAGATCCTAGTGCTATATGACTGCATGAATAGCATTGATTAATATTAAAACAGTAAGACATCATGCCACCTGCGACTGCATATTTGCCAGCAATGCAACCATTTAAATAAATCTACTAACAGCCCATTAACAAAACACAACCAATGCTCTGCATACAAACAAGCAACCAGACAGACAGAGGCAATCAGTTTCTTAAACTCACCCTGTAGTATATACATTAGAACCTTGGCAAACAAATACAGAATTTTATTTGCAAGCAGTCAGATACAGCCAGTAAGACTATGAAAAGCATTTGATGAGTGCTTCACAAAGCACATTTGTTGAAATGTTAAGCAGGGACATATTCAAGAAGACTTTGGGCATCTGCTTTGAAGATATTCACCAATGACCTTCATCTGTATGTATGTGCATAGCTGCTTTAATAGCAGACTTAATTGAAGTATTGTCTGAATGCATAAAGAAATGAGGGGCAGGTGAGCAAGGGAACCCTTTGACAAAGCTCCAGTAAACATTTTAGTACTCCCAGTATTCCATTCCCAAATATCACCCAATCCAGCCAGTAGTAATTGCTATATAGGTAAAGAAGGGCATTAAAAACAGGACACAAGACAAAAATCCAGTCAAGTTGCCTAGAGTGCCACTTGAAAGATTTCTTTATTTGAAACGAAGCCCTTGAAACACATGTGCTTACATTGTGTAAACTATTTTGTATCCCACTGATCTTAAAATACATGCTTTTTCTTTTTCCCCTTCTGGCATGAGGAACTCTAGGGAGGCAGCAGGGCTATGAAACTATCTTTATTTTGGTTTAAACAATCAATAAAGATACGACAATAGATACATTTGCCTCATGCAGTAGCACCTTCTGCTATCCACAGAGCTGACATATCATGGCATGAAGACATTCCATATCTTACAGTTTGCTGAAGATATGTCCTCATAATGGAGTTTCCATCTCATACGGATAGGCTATCTGCCTGCTGCTTAGGGAGGCTAAAGCTGATCCAAGATGTAAGGTGACATCGGTAGGGGTAGCTATCTGCTTGACTACGATTGTCCCAACAGGGGTAGGACTGACCACTTTCATCCCATCTTTGCTTTTGGCTGTAAGGAAGAGCAGAAGCCTGGCTTCTGATACCATTGCTAGGTTAATCACCCCTAGATTCTTAGAATGTTGGAAGACCTGAAATTTACTAGCCTATACCCTGCTTAAGGCACATAAATGGAAAATGTAATTGAATTCTTTTCCCAGCAACAGCAATTGCTGTTCTTAGGGAAGTCCTGCCTCCTCCTCTTTTTGGAAAGTTCCTTTAAAAAGTTCTGTCCTCCAGAGATTGGAACCTGGTACAGATAGGGCTTAACATAGGCAGACATTTTTCTCTTTTGTCCTTCTGAATATGTATATCTTAATTTGATACCAGAAACAAAATTATTTCTCAAACTCTGGTTCTTCAACAGTATTTAGCAGCAACTGCATCCTGGCCGCACAAATCCAAATTACCACTAGATTGCAGCCAAGAGAGACAAAAAGCTCTTGACTTTGATGTCATCAAATGGTTAATCAATTGGTTGAGAGGTTAGTCATTTTGGAGAAATTATGACAGTATTTGTCATAAGCTGAACATCTCTCACACAGACACACAAAAACCCCAACCTTGAACTCTGGCTCCAAGAACACTTACATCACACTTACATCTATATTGCACAAATGGAGGCAACCACTATCTTGCAGTTAAAAGAGAATTCTTTGTTGCCATCTACTGGTTTTTAGGTTGATAAGTTAACAGTCCTTTTGGGAGATCAGTAGCAAAATAGCTGAATGGATGAAAAGGCCAGATCCCAGGATGGGACAATCCCAGCATGTATCCCCTAAGTGATTGGTGGCAGTTTTTCCTATAGGAAGTGACATTCAAATTTCAGGCAGAGAAAATGGCAAGTTATTGCCCTTATATAGTGTCTTGTGGAGAAGCAATACAGATAGTACAGCACAGTCCCCATCCTGCACATTAAGGGAAACTGTGGGGCATAGTGTGACATGCTACCATGATTTCTCAGCTCGAGGTCACAGGATGAAAGCATGGTAATGCAATTCAGGGATGAACTCCTTATTTAGTATTTCAGGTATCGCACGTATATGTATGCATGTTTTTCTGTTTTCAAAATCCTTACATTGCAGTGGTCTTTGTGAACGATTGCACTCTGTTGCATTCTGACCTGAATAATCACTGACACAATTCATTTGCACCGCCCTGAGTCCTTCGGGAGAAGGGCGGTATAGAAATAAAATTAATAATAATAATAATAAAAAAGAATTGTGATTAATATGGCAGAGTGTTCCTGATGTTAGCCTACAAAGTTTCTAATGTTTAGTGTAGTCATGGATGAATCCATGTACCATGTTTTCCCGAAAATAAGACCCTGTCTTATATTTTTTTGAACTTCGAAATAAGTGCTTGGCCTTATTGCCATGAGCTCAAAAGCCCAATTGGGCTTATTATCAGGGGATGTCTTATTTTGGGGGAAATGGTAGGGTTTTTTTGGGAACAGTACGGAAATATTACTTTAGTGGGAATATTACTTTAATTTACAGACATATCATTTGTTTTCTGTGCTTCTCTCAAGTGGACACTTATAGCATATTCATGTTACAGTATCATGTTATCATTCTTCTCCCGACCCCTACCCTTCTTCGGTTTAGATTCTCAGTTAGGACTCCTAACAAGAAGGCTGGGCTCTGCTCTGCGGCCTGCTGCAACTCACTTTTTGCTAGGTTCCAGACCTCAGACTCTCCAGAGATCTCCCAGTGCTCATTTGCTTTCTGGTTGTAGCACTCTCCTGGAATCCACCATCTGTGATGAGATATTGCCTGATGATGATTCAAGTGACCTGACCCATGGTAATGGAACACCTTGTGCTTTTCTTGCACATTTCCTATCCTCTAGCCTCTCCTTAACAGAACATGTGGAAGCAAACAAAACCAAGATTTTCTCTCTCCTATAAAAATGTTTGGATGATATGTCCATTTATCTGCTTATCATTTTTTTTTTATCATTTTATTAAATTTGTATACCGCCCTACTCCTGAAGGACTCAGGGCGGTGAACAGCCATAAAATAAAACATATAGATACAAAATTTAAAATAGAGATAAAACAAATTAAATAAATTTGGCTGAACCATTTTAAAACCCCAATAATTTAAAACCAAATTTAAAATTCCCATTTAAAAGAGGAAAAGTTTAGGTCAGGCCAGCTTGATGAAATAGGAATGTCTTAAGCGCGCGACGGAAGGTACGCAGATCCGGAATCCTCCGTATCTCCGGGGGGAGCTTGTTCCAGATAGTAGGTGCCCCCACAGAGAAGGCTCTCCCCCTGGGGGCCGCCAGTCGACATTGTTTGGCCGACGGCACCCGGAGGAGCCCCTCTCTATGGGAGCGTACTGGTCGGTGGGAGGCTATTGGTGGTAGCAGGCGGTCCCGCAAATAGCCAGGTCCTAAGCCATGGAGCGCTCTGAAGGTGATAACCAAAACCTTGAAGCGCACTCGGAAGACCACCGGGAGCCAGTGCAGCTCGCGCAGGAGAGGTGTTACATGGGAGTGCCACGTCGCTCCCATCACCACCCGTGCGGCCGCACTCTGTGCCTGTTGGAGCCTCCGAGTGCTCCTCAAGGGGAGCCCCATGTAGAGAGTGTTACAATAGTCCAGACGGGAGGTGACGAGGGCATGAGTGACCGTGCGTAATGAGTCCCGATCCAGAAAGGGACGCAACTGGCGGATCAGGCGAACCTGATGAAAAATCCTCCCGGTCACGGCCGTCAAGTGCTCTTCTAAAGACAGCCGTGAATCCAGGAGGACACCCAAGTTGCGAGCCCCTTCGGTGGGGGCCAATGCTTCGCCCCCAATAGTCAGCGATGGCACCAGCTGACTATATCGGGACGTCGGAAACCACAGCCACTCGGTCTTGGATGGGTTGAGCCTGAGCCTGTTTCTCCCCATCCAGATCCGTACGGCCTCCAGGCACCGGGACATCACTTCAAGGGCATCGTTGCTTATGGTAAATGTATTTACATAAACATTTCCATTGGCTTTCTTTTGCAGAAATTTTTCTGTAACTCAAATTGGGAAATGAACATATGTGTTAAAAATAGTGGTTCAGTTTTATGTTAACATTAGAGATGGTGTTCGATCAAGTAATCTCTTTGTTGTAGCTGGCTGTTCTCAGATTTTTTCCTGACGAGATAATGACATTTGTCACTTTTTTTCCAAAGTCAATTTAACTATTATGCTTACCTTAAACTGAATGAGGAAAGATGTTCTTGAGCACTTTGCCCATTCCTACTAATCCCACCTCAGCTCACAAATGTGTTTTTTTCCTGTGGGTTAGAATAACAACTGACCAAAATAGAAAGTTGGTTTATTTTTTCTGAATATCTCTTTCTAAATATGGAGGAAATATAATTGCATATAAGCTTGTATATGAAATTTCAGGTAAAGAAAATAGTTTTTTAAGTATATGAAAGTATAAATTACGACACTTTTTAAATTTTGTTTTTAACAGGTGTCAGTAGAGTTATATGTGGGAACCCCATCAAAGCTCTTCATGCAAGAAGACAAAAATTAGGTGTAAGTTTCTTTATAAGTACATTTTTGAAGGGAGGGAATGTTAGAAGGGAGTTGTCATGTAAGAAGAATAAGCCTATGTTTCTCAGTCTGCTGAAAAGCCCACATAAAGTTTTCTGCTTCTTGTTAGGGTATGTTGCTAATTAAATTATCAGCCTTTTTCTTTTGATCATGAATGGGTTTCTGGCAAACCTTCTCACTCACCATGGAGATTCATACTTGTGAAAGTAAAGTGGGAAAGCTGTTAGGGACATTTCAAGGGAAGGAACAAATCTGATGTAGAGAAAAACACACCTAAGCCTTCCCCAGGAGACAAATAATAAATGGAACTGGGTGGCAACATTGCCTGATCTTGCATGTTTGCAATAATATGCAGGCTGCCCCTGTTACCTCCAGAAACTGTGGCACAACAGCAGGTCCCTGTTGGTATAATAAACATTGGCCACGATGGGGAGATTATGAAAGAAATTAAGATTTCAAAAATAATCCTTGGCAAAATTATTTTTTTTCAGTGAATGCAGATATATTTTTATATCATTTCTCTAATATTGTAGTCTGCAGTAACAAACCTGTTCCAGCCACCGTGTCATCTGGCAGAATATAATTATGATTTTGAAGAAACTGGCAGTGTAAATGAGAGAGACATCTTTGCTGAGCTGAAAGCCTTGCAAGAACATCATTACCAGTAAGAGCCAAAATTTAGTCCATTATTAAGCAGAATTTTTTAGAGTTTCCCAAGATAAATCAGCAAGTGAATATAATCTCCACTTGTTGATGAACAGATTGTATTGCGACACTCTAAAGCCTACGGAAAGACAAACATTAGGAATGTTTTGGTAGGGAATTTTTTATACTGCTTTTTCTGGTTTCATTCAACATATACACAGTTTTTCAGGGTGAAAAATCTTTCCTTTAATAACTATTCTAGGTTATCACTTCTGGAAAAAATAAGTTGAGCTTTTCTCTTGTTTTCATTGTCATAAGCATGTCAGCCATCTTGTGGCCATGCTCAGGAACTGTTTATATTTCCTCCTATTTTCATTCAGTGTATAATTTACAAAGGAGGAGAAATCAAATAAAAACTCTTAAGAATTTCTACATAGATAATTGTTTATTCAAAAATAAAAACACCCACTTCAGTTCATGCTTTTGCTATCATGTCTGATTTCCCACTTTTAAGCTATTGTCCTCTCTGTATTGGTGGTAGAATCAGTCAACTGTTTAATTATTTGGAAGAGAAAATTCATGATAATAACCAGTCTGCATATTCTGGTTTATTTAATGTTACAGCATTCCATCATGCTCACTATGAGGAATTACTGTGCTAACATCAGTGGTTACAAAATTCCCATATTTAGGATTTTAGGGCTAGTTTTCTTAAGAAGAATAAAGTGGGTGGGTGAGGGGACTGTACTGATGTCAGATTAGAAGAAAAACAAAAACGATATCAGAAATAAATCCTAAAGTTTTTTTATGGCAATTATTTTCTCAAGAGAGATTTGCTAAAGACTGAATTAGACTATTTTCCGGGAAATACCATAAAATCTGGGTTTGGGGTTATTTTTTTAGAGCATAGCATGGGGCAAAGTTCATTACAAAAGCTTTACTGTGGATTTATTTTGGGGGGGGGCTTCTGGTAATTATTTCAGTTTAAAGATATATAAGTTGGATATGGTATGTGCAAATATTAATGTACAGCATGTTATAAAATTTGGGCAGGATGGCACCTAATTAAAAAGTAAATCTCTGGCAGGCACTTGCAAGCCTTCCAAAGAGTGAAATCTCCCCAGCTGTTGAAAATAACACACAATGATGAAGAAGGGGAAGAGAAAGAAAAAGGCTGCAGCCTGAGTGACAGCTGTGATGAAGATTTTAAAGAAGCCTTTCAGGGGGACATCACACAAATTACCACATCAGAAGCTTCTTGTTGTTCCCATCTTTCTCAGGTGTCATCAGGTATAGAACTAATAGGGCAAACTGGAGTGTCATTTGTATATAATATTTAAAGATTAGCATGCAGTATCATTAAAGCAAGCAAATCCTGGGGAAAAGGAGATGGTACTCTTAGCTCACTATGAGAGAGTGAGAAAAAAAATAGATATGGAATTTATAGTGTGTTAGAAACAATAGCAGCAACTTCTGCATTCTCCTGTCTCACTACAGGTATTGATCAGCATCTTTGGATGCAAATAATTTAGATGTTACCAAAACGGTTTAACAGGCAAGCCACTAAGTTGAGCCAACTCTTTGCTGTGTAAACTCAACTACAGTACTGTAGTTCATGGTTTGCAGTTGTTAAATGGCTTAGCACGGTGTTCAAACTGTTTAGGAAAAGAGCTGAGAGATACATTGAGAATCTGAACAGATATATATATATATATATAGTCTTTTAATCATAGTGGAATTACATAGAAAATTGTTACTCAAATTCTAGCTTAAAGATTTTTAAATTCTGCTATTGTTTTTCTTTGAACTGTGTGTGATTCTCAGAGAATGCTTGGACAAGTCCCTGCAGTTTTTCCCGAAGTGGGATTACAGAAAGGGATTAGCCCAAGGTTTACCCATATGGCTTTTTTTGCTTAAGGTGATACTAGAACTCATGGTCTCCCAGTTTCTGACCTGATGGCCTTAACCACTCTACATAAAATTGGTTCTCAAGTTCTGCTTAGCACCTGCTAAAAATGTGGTAGAAGAAGCTATTCAGTACAGATTCTAAAAAAACTATTTTCAGAACTGCAAATCTAAATATTCTTTATTATTAGGCTATCTAAAATATTCAGAAAAGACAGATATTGCACTGAAATTGAATGTGATGTATAAAATTATCAGTTTAGAATTTTGAAATTATTAAAGTTGGGAATTCAGACCATTCCATCCGGGTAAATTCCTCTTATAGAACCCAGCAATCTTTTGGATGAAATACTTTGTTGCTACACTGATGGTGTGCTTTTCCCTTACATTTCAGATTCATCACATAGCCTCGCAAATACATTACCGAGCATTGTAAAGCGCTCTCTCCAACCTTCTCCTCCAAAATGCCCTTCACCTGGATCCATGGGTGTGACAGCTGGACTTATGAGAGCTAGACACCTGAAAATACCTAATTCAAAAAAAGCTGTGTTAAAGCTGCAGCCTCCATTAGTTGTGAACAGGGATGAAGTGCAGCATATGGCTGAAAGGACTGCTGTTCTGAATCTCCATAGGAAACCAGATGCACCCTCTAATGCAGCACTCTTCACACAGAGGCAAACAGTTTGTGGCAGCAAACAGATTAGGAGACCCATTTCAGGACCAGCAGCATTTGGACCAACAAATAGGTTTGGATCTTACCCCCAAAGTATGGAATAAAGGCCGGTTCATATTATGATATTGGGCCAGGTTAGGTATATTTGAGCTTGCTTAAACCACTAGCCTAATGCTATCACAGTGGCCAAAAATCTAGTGACCCAGTGTTAATTTGGGGCAATGTTATTATTACATCCTACAGCTGGTCCTCAACTTATGAGAGGTCGTTTAGCAACCATTCAAAGTTATGATGGGTCCTTAAAAAGATTACTTATAACCTACATTTAAAATTCTAGGCTGTTTCCCCCTCCTCCATCATATGACCACATTTTGGGCATTCTGAAACTGGCCTGCGTTTATGGCCGTTTGAAATGCCCTGCAATCATATGATTACAATTTACAATATTTTTGCCAGAAACTGATATTTACTTCTAAATTCCAGCAAAAAAAACACCCTATAGTAAATAATGGGTTTACTTTATGACTGCAGCATTCATTTATGACCAAGATCGTAAAATTAGGTGGCCTGCTTAATGATAGTCACAACTTACAACTGAAATGGTCACAAGTCAAAGGATACGTTTATAAAGTCTGGCTAAAAGATAACAACCAGCCTGAAGTCACCAAATAAGAATCCTTAACTGAGATTTGACTTGGAGCTGAGAATCCCACCCTTAGTCCAAAATCTTAATCATTATCACACATATATTTATTTATTAAGTTGCAAGCTAAGTTGATCTTCTCTTGCTGAAAGTGTTGCTGTTGCTGCCTGCTATCCCTTGGTCTCTCATCCATTGAAAGAGACAGAAGTTACCTGTTCTTGCTTCTGTAGCTGTGAGACACAGCCAGGGCAGAGAAGTGATCATTTTTTCTACCCTTCTCCATTTAGCTCCTGGGAGGCTAGGTGTGCAACCTTCCAATAGCCATTGCTGGTCTTTGAGTAGATTCACTTGGTCCTTGTTCACATGCTCACATGCAAATGTGCTCACTGTAGAAGATGAGCCTGCTGAAATTTTTAATTTCTGGAGTTTTAGAAAGGAGTTATCTATTCTTTCTTATAGTTAAAATATAATTTAAGCTATGCCTAAGCACAAGAGAATTTAAAAACATTTGAATGTGATACCTCATATTCAACAAATATTTTTCCCATAACTAACAATCTACATGTGTCACTTTGTTCCTCTCCCTGATAACATTTTTAATTTATAACATTATTGCCACCTTGATTCTTTGCCACTACCAACCAGCAATTCATTATAGTGTGGCGGAAAAGTATTCAATGTGACAATACTCTGCCATGACTTAATGGAAGCAACAGTCTAGAAATAGTCTTCAGTAGGAGCCCAGTTAATGACCAAAGCATTGGAGATACTTAGAAGAATAGAAGGATATCTGTTCTTGTTTGGTCCAATAAACCTACTTTCTAATTTGTTGAATTTCTTCTCTTTAGAGCCACTATGGATAGAAGCCTACCTAAGACAATCAACCATCATATACCTGCCAGTCATTCATACACAAGTATGCCAGACAGATTTGCAGTGCTGAACATGGGCCACCCTCTGAGCGCCAAAGCTGCCCTGCAGAGCTTGTCAAAAAGGCCGGATATCTCAGTGATTGCTCAAAGCAAGACTCCCCAGTTGTAGGAAATGCCTCAAACAGCTGTGCATACCTTGTTGCCAGGTCTTGGCTGTACTTGATTTCTCATTTTCCCATGAGCAACACAGGCCAGCTTCTCTGATTCAGCAGCCTGATTCATCGCTGAGGATGACAGTGCCCCTACGCAAGCAGAGCAGTTGAAAGAAACAACTTGATTTCTCTCCAATTAAACTGCTGCTGTGAAGAGAGAATCAGTCATTCTCCCCACCCCCACCCCAGCAACTTTTCTTTTTAGCAGGCTTTGAAAGGAATGAAGAAAGGACTTGTGCCCACTGTAGCTCCTTCTGATGACTACATCACTGGTGTTTAGAACAGCTGTTTGAGTGGCCTCAGGAGCAAGGGTGGTTTCCTTGACTCAGCTAGTGGGAGGATGATACAACTGGTTCCCTCAGGTAACCAGCTGCAGCTCCAAAGTGTCAGCCTTCTCTCCTAGGGATTAAAAGACTGGGAACATAGGCAGCTGCACTTGGCTTAGTCTGAAGGATATGGGTTTTTTTTTTCATGTTCCTTGAGCAGCAGACTCATTGGTTTCAGGTACTGGTTTCTACTTCAACTAACGTAAACAAACTATGTTGCTTGGTTACCATTTTCAGCATGGAATTACCAAATAGCAAGAAATGTAGGACCAATTGACCAAATCATTTTAATTTATTTGTGCTTGAAAGAAATATGTGGCATACCTCGAGACTGTATTTTCTTCAAGTCAGGTGACCAGTATATACCCACATATTATATCAGACATGGGTGGTTCTTAATAATTCCTCCTTTACCTGAACCTCTTCATGTCTTTACAACAAATGTATTTTCAGTTCAAATTTCCCTAAATTGTAGAACATTTTTAGATTGAAAGAGTAAAGTGCATTGTTCATAAGTGTCAACATTCAGGTAAGATGTGCAATGCTATTCCAGCAGTCTTGCCTATCTGTTGGCACATAGATGGGTACAGTTATCACTTGATCTTTGATTTGTAACGTGGGTCATGTTGTTATGAGAATCAGGGACTCCCACATATGGCTAGTAGGTGGCCCTGTTTTGTGATTGTGGCATTTGGAGCAAATGCTGCCATATTCATGGGATTTGTTACTTGCCATAGTTCATACTGTATATTTCTCCACACAAGTCCTACAAACTGTATCTGCTAACAAAAAAAACAAAAGTTTGTGTGAATTGGAACTCAAGTATGTATAGATAATTATTATTGTGACTATTTTGAAACCAAGTATTGTATTGTAGTTTTCAAAATTAATATTAGATAATTTTGGAGTGAAGTTTACAAAGATAAAAATTATGCAACAATCCAAGCTATAAGCTTGTTTTTGTTCAGATTTTTTAAAAATGCATAATGGTATCAATGATGTTTACATAAAATTTTCAGTATGTTGTTATGTTGAAACTTTTAAATATTTGTAAACCATGAAAAGGGTTAGATGCTCCAAAACTGTGCTTCTATTCATGCCATAGTGGGGTCCTGCTGAATTCCATATCTGGAATATAGGTTTATAGGAAACCTGTACCCAAATTCATAAAATGATATGTGGGAACATCAGCCTTAAGAATAGGCATATCCTATAAATTAATTTTCTTCTTCAATCCAGTTTTTGTAGTATTGAAAGTCTGCCTTTTCTACATATTCAAAATATGAGCAAGGAAGCAATCTAGCCTTTGATATGTTCATATACACTATCTCTATAAAGAACTTAATATAGCAAAAATATTTTGTAAGTTGGATTCGGATTTATATACTGAAATCAAGGAGACTCCAACCAACCTCAAAACCTTGGAATTGCTGTGTGTTTTCCCTAAATTTCCCACTGATTCCAACCCACAGAATACTCAGTGTTATTTCCAGTCTTATATGAAGATAGTGAATAAACCTATCAAGTAGTAACCCATTCACTTGCTCATATCATTATGCATAGGGAAATGCAGAATTTCAGTTATGATTGCAAAGTTAGGGCTTGATTGGAAAAGAAAAGTGGCTTTCATTAAATTGAATTCATTTTTTTATGTTTAAACATACTGTAGAACTGCCAATTCCTGTTTACCAATGCAAAAAAAGTTGACTTCTCTCATATTAATTGTGAAAAAGCACCAAGGGGAAAGGTGCCAAAGCCTTCCAGACCTCCTGACCTTCCATAAGAACCTTCCCATTTTCTTTTTCTTTCTTTTTCTTTTCTTTTTTTTCTTTACTAAATTTGGTTGTTAGAAAAGTGATATATAGGGAAAAAATATTTCTGTGAAGATGCTGGGGGGAGAAGCCATCAATCACAGTTGGAGAATCTGACCCTTATTAGACGCCATATTATTTGCCAACTTCTCAGTTTAGCAGGGACATTCCTTCCTTCAGCTCAACCCTTCACCATTTTGGTTGATCAACAGCAAGAGTTCACAAAGTTCACAATGAATCGGGATTCTTCTTCTGATCTCATGCTAAAACACTTCTCATAATTTTTAAGATGATTCTTCCTTCCAAAGTAGCTAAACACATATTAATACCATACTTGCCTCAGAACTGGAAGTGCAACTCACAAAAGTAAGTGTACCTTTTCAGACAAATTATGATGCCTGCTTTATATTTGAAGAATCCACACACTCATCTTCACTCCTATTCATTAGCTTGCTATTTAGCATTGCAGCATCTTCTTAGATGCAGATCAGTTGTAGCAGGAAGATACATCATATAGTTGAAACCATATTTTGAGCGAACACTATTCCTATCAGAGACACTGTGGGAATTGTTGTGTCGAGCGGTGCCTTGAATGTCTGAAAAATGAAAAAGGGAGTTGTAGTCCATGATATAATGGCCATATAGGTCTTTGAGTGCTGCTGTTGGACTTCACAAAGTGCAGCACTCTCCTTGTAGAACTATACAGAAATATTTTGCTCTTAATTGTCGCTGTTGCTTTGTAGCCATCAAGGTAAGAGTTGGGAAAAGATACTAAGCTGAAAATGTTCTTGCCTCTGCCACACCCTTAACTCAAATGCTATTTTTCCTTTCGTAATTTGACAATTTACAATGCTGGCAAAATATATGACTGTGCACGTGAGTGGGGAAAAGCAGACTCACGTCATCCTTCCTTTTTTTCTGCTCTTAAGATAAAGCCTGAAGCAGCATAACCTCTCTCTCCACTCAGTCCCATTTTAAGACATTAAATGCAAAAGGCATTTTATATGTTCAATCTGACTTGCACAGCTGCAAAAGTGATGGAATGTAAAGTCAGTTAGCATTTCTTCAATAAAAGACATTACTCAAAGCCTGAAAGTTAAATCTAAGCCTTCAGTGTACAGCACCACCACGGCTATATTTGTGTTCATTTTTTCTTTTTATTCTGCACCGTTAAATCTGGCCTTAGCACACACAAGGAGCACCAGGTTTATTCTGCCCTAACTCATTTTACTGAACAATGTAGAGGTAGTCCTCGACTTACAACAGTTCATTTAGTGACCATTGAAAGTTACAACGGCGCTGAAAAAAGTGACTTGTGACCGTTTTTCACTTGACCGTTGCAACATCCCCGTGGTCAGGTGATCAAAATTCAGACACTTGGCAACTGGCTCATATTTATGACGGTTGCAGTGTCGCAGGGTCACATGATCAACTTTTGTGACTTTTTGACAAAGTTAATGGGAAAGCGAAATTCACTTAACAACCAGGTGACTAATTTAACAACTGCAATGATTCAATTAACAGCCGTGGCAAGAAAAGTCGTAAAATGGGGCAAACTGACAAATGTTTCACTTAGCAACATAAACTTTGGGCTCAATTGTGGTCATTACTTGAGGACTACCTGCACCTGAATATAATCAGACACTACCATCAGGTAGTGTTGTTAACATTTTATTTCTTCACAAAGTGGTTTAGGCCAAAAAGTCTTTTAAGCCTTTTTTTTTTTTTGTTAATAAGATTAGCTGTGCACTTTCAGATTGTTATGTAAGTTGATAAACTTTGCCTAAGAGCAAGCCACAGGAAAGGAAACAAGATTTTTTAGTTAATAAGTCATCACCAAGAAGAGAGTTTTTCAGCTGGAACGGACTTATTGAGGTGGCACAGTTCCAGAAAGTCTGAGGGTTCCCCGCTCTCATGTTTTTCTCATTCTTCTTTCTTGCCTATGATATCAAATGATTACCCTGAATCAGTGCTACAGTAAAGCTGGGAATTAGAACAAGCATCAGCAAAAGCTTGTTTCAAATTGCACAACTTTTTTTTATGAGGTAGATGTTCCTGCGTCTGAAGGATCAGAAGATATATTAGAAGATAATGGAAATAGAAACTTTCCTAGTATGCTTTTCCTCAAGTTACTGGCCTTCCAGCTGAACTGGCTGTGCAAATGCCAGAGTCTCCAAATCGCACGAGAAGCAGCTGTCCTAATACAAAGAGGGACACTGGTGGGAATTCTTACACAAATGCGTATTTGAATGGCTGTTTTGTCTCCTAGGTTCCACTTGCTTTATGCTTAATATTTTATTTCTATCAAATCAATGATGTGCAAAGATGCACATTGTAGAGTTCTTTTGAATGAAAAGGTAACAACTATTCTAAAGTACAGTCAAACACCCAAGCCAGAGAAAACTAACATGGAAGCAAAATTTTGCTGGCTAAAATAATTACATCTCTTGCACAAAAGCTCTTTATGTGTGAGAAACCTTCCCAGAGTCCTTAAAGATCAGCAGCTACCTGGGGAAAAAGTTATTTTCCTAATATGGAACCCACTATTATCTCTTTCCTCCTTGTCTTATTTGTTCCAAAGTCTCAAGTTTGAGGAGGAAGATGCTCTCTCTATGCAACTGATAGCAATGGACTTTACTTACTCTCATTACTGGTTCCTGATGTGCCGGTTTCCATGACTGAAAACCATGACTGAAAAATCTTCTTCACTGTCCGAAGAGCTTTCTTTATCTGCTAAAATCAATAAAAATATTGTTATGAACCCTAAAGCTAGTTCTCCTTTCTGAAGAGCTTTCCCTCACCCCCCCCCCCAAGCTACAAGAAAAATTTAAATCATTTCCCTACTTTGGAAGTATCTAAGATACTAGAATATTTCTGACCCCAGGACAGGAAAACGTTTTGTGCCCCTCCTAGAATCTCCAGAAATGATGCTACCAAATTGTAAAGTTGAATGTGACCAAAGAGTGACATTATTAAACAGATAAAGGGTTATCCTCTTAATGTTTTGGAGGATGGCTGTAAGTGTGCTGCTCAAAGCTCAAATGTACACCTGTGCCTAATACTAATAAAAAAAAGGGCAGCCCTAATTTAGCATTACTGATACGGATAAATGTATTCGTGTGCACAATATCAATTGGGTTTTATAATTTATACATTTACACATTTATATTCCATTTTAAAAAAAGATAAAGCGAACAGTTCTTGGTAATGGGGAAGGGGAATTTCATATATTGGAACCACAATGTGTTGAAGGGAGAAAATTTGTCCTCAACTTTTGGTAGAATCTAATGATATCTGTATGGCTAGAGTGGATAAGCCTATCCACAAATACTTCTGACCCTATAATATAGCAGTTGATCAGAAATATTTTAATGGAATATGTTTCTCTTTCTGACCTCTGAATGCATGACTATATATGTGCATTTTAAAAAAAATCAGAGCTCAAAGATGGTCCTAACATGTCTAACACTGACCAGAAATTTTCTCCCATGAAGAAGGATCAGAACAGAGTAGATAAGAGGTGATCCAGCTGTCATCATATATTTGGACTTTTAAAAAAATTGACAAGTCATTTCATGGACAATTAATTGGCTAAAGGATAGCTAACAGAGTAAAGAATAAATGAAGAGTAAGATATTAGTTCTAGAAGGACAGGGATTCTTGTGATGGGCTGTATTCTATTTTTGTTTTGTTTGACTGAAATTGAGAAAATTACATCAGTTTTTTTTAGAAGTGTAGGGGAGAATAAATTAGGAAAATTGCGTTTTAAAAATAAAAGTGGTTTCTCATTAGGGAATTGTTTATTAAAAATAAAATAAATATTTGGATTCTGTCTGTTCTTTCCCAATTCATTTTTTTTCAGGTTTTCTGAACACACCACCACAAAAAGACATTAAGCTTCATCACATATATCTTCATGAAATTAGTAGTTATTAAGTGTGGCTGCTTATGAAAGGATAAGTTGTTCCATTTGTTGCAAAATAATTTTGGAGTCTGTGTGCTAAATGGTCTTTTTGATATGCCTACCATCGCCACACCTGATAGGAAAGGAAGAGAGGTGTTTTTTTTTTAAGAAAACACACAAAAAAAATTGTTACATTCCCCATTTGTTTTCCTGTTGTTTCCGATGGACCGGTCACACGACATATTGAAACTTGGTGAAGAATCTATGGAAAGTTGTATTGAGTGCCTAAAAAAAAAAAAGAACATTCTATAGAAAGTTTCTTACTTTTCCATTAAAAATGAATAAGTGTTAAATAGCATGGTTTATTACATAAATTGCAATTGGTTAAGTTTGCACAATACACTAAGCCAATCTATAACATTTCAGGGAAACCCAAATTATTCGAATTTCCTATAAAAGTAAGAGAACTCAATAATGGAATGACCAGCTTCAAAGCAGGTTTAGTTCTTTTCATTGGATGGATGCAAGGTTGGTCTGGACGATAATTTCTCAGAGATGGGCTGTCTGAAAATCCTGTGTTAAACCGGATTAAATTAACACCTGCTGCAGTGCCTTTTACTGTGCTGTATCACAATGTGACATAATTTTGAGCACTTCCAAATCGTACCAATACCTTCCCTTTGCAAAGAGAGTAGCATTTTCTTTGCTGTACCTTGGGCGGAATGAAATCTTGGAGTACAAGACTTCATTCATTTCTTCTCTGCCATCCCAAATGGGAAACTTGTCGATGGAAAGTTCCACGTTATCACTGTAAGCTGCTGCTGCTGCTGTAAATTGGTGAGGATTTACGTATTGTGACACCATCTTGAGAAAAAGCAAGGGAGAGGCCAGGGTAATATCTCTGCTGCTTTTAATGTTTACACTTGCACAATACCTTTTCCTAACAGATTCAAAGGTAAGATATCAAAATAAAAATACAGAAACATTGCAATGAAATATACTGAATATATAAAGTCTCTTGGGACTCTTCGTTGTTTATGAATACTCTCACCTCAATTTTTCTTCTGCTTTTTCCCCAGAGCACCTAGTTTATATAGGTACATATTTTGTTCCAACAATCATTCACAGTACCAGCAGAGATGGAGCTGCTTCGGAACAGCCGAAGAGGTTGTAGAAAAAATGGTTTTAAAAGTAAAAAAAAAAAAAAAAAGTTGGCCATGCACACCCAGTCACATTACCCCCCCACCAAGCCGTGCCCACAGATCCAGTAGTAACAAATTTTACATTTCACCATTGGACCACATGAACCCTAATGATATGCCACAGCGAAAGACAAGTCAGACTCTGTTATATTGGTTCTTTCTATTCAATGCTATCCAAGGCTGGATTGCTTCATCTTTCCAACAAAATATCAGGGAATTTGGATTCACAATTTCCATCCTCCATTCCCAAGCTGCAGAAATCAGTTCCTGTGGTATGTTATTGTGGCATTGACCCACAAAGGATGCCAGATCCTGACTGTTCCGGGACCCCATCTATCCTTTCTCTACTCTGCTGGGTTCCGTAATCCAGGACACAACTGATAATGTCTGTCCAACTTATCTTCTGCAACTAGTGCTGGTGAAGCTGTTCCAGATATGGTAAGGACTGTAACATGGCCCAAAAATGCTTTCCCTGTGTCACCAAGGGAAATGCCACAAACTAGAAATGCTGCACAAGGCCAGTGACTCTTGAGGCCTCCTCTAAACTATGTCAATCTGATTCTCCCAGCCTACCCATGTAACTAAAACAGTGATGGGAGAAGAAATAGAAAAGAGCCAATGCACCATTTTCTTAAAAAATAAACCAGTCCCAGCTATGGCCTTGTCATGCTTTCTCAGGGAAGAGAATGATTAACCATTTCTAACTGTTTCAGGGAGGGGAACGCTGGTTTAGGTATCAACCTCTTTAGCTACTTTCCCCATAAAGAAAATATATATCAGATTTCTACCAAATGTTCCAAGGCCTGCCCAGCTTCAGAGAAAGCTATCATTTGCCAGTAGGGCACAGATTTGGGTCTTCTCTCGCCATCAGCCTTACAGAGATGGCCAAATAATAGCCATGTGACTCATTATAAACTTTTCTACAAGCCAGTGGAGGGTCCTGGAAGCACCGCTATCGTCATGATATGCCACAATAATCTTTTATTGAGCTTCTGGGCTTGCCCTGATTTGTTTCTTAAGCCTCAGGAGAAAGTGGAGCAGCTTCCATTTTAACAATCAGAAACCAACTAACTAAATTTATATAAATTTAAACAATAAATAAATAAATAAAATCAACCAACCAACCAACCAACCCGCCAGCCACTTTCCTACTATTAGCCAAGACAGCTCACCTGGCCATTACGATCACTAAGAGTGGTAAGGCATTCAGGCCCTGCTCTGAAGAACTTTGTGGTGGAAAATGAAGGTGGTTCATGAGCCAAGTTGGCCCCCGCAGCCCAAACCTATTAAACAATGCATGTGAATAAGTACACAACGATTAATGTATGCAAGTTGCCTGGTAGATTAAAAAAAAAAATCTGCAAAGACCATGGAAACCAAAGCTATCTCCCATACTTTTTCCATAATCTTAAAGCTAATCTCATTGCCAAGGAATTTTAAAGTCTATCTTTGCACTAAAGTGCACCTAATCTGCACTTTAGTATCATGCTATACAAGCAGTATACATTTTGACTGGAATATTTAGAACTTGAGCATCAGTTGTGATCCTGTACTGCCTCCTGCTGGCTTGGAACATCCATGGGCCAAGATATGCTATGGAAGCATACATCATTTACTGATGGGGAAGAGAAAACATTGCCAAGCTCCAAGGAGAGGTGGGCTTGTAAAAGACATATTCAGTGCACCTCCTGTGCATATGATTCTAATGCAATCCTCTCTCTCAACACATTCTAGCACTTTTGCTCTCTCATGGCTAAGATAAATGTGGACTTCATTTGCTGCTAGATATGATGATGACCACCAACTTAAATGTCTTAAAATGGGAAAGAAACACTTTCACAGAGGATAAGACAGAAAGTAGCTATTGGCCCTGATTATGTTCCTGTCAAAGGCAGCAAGACTCCATATGTTAACAGGAATAAAAGGGTGCTTTGGGTCAATTGGTAGGCCATTGTGGGAAGCAAAAGATTGGATTAGATGGGCTTTTGATGTGGTCCAGCAGGGTTCTTCTTTTACAAGGAAACAGCAAGAACCAAGAGGAGAGGAAACGGAGCCACAGCAGAGGCTTCAACTCAGCAATAAAAAGAAGCAACTGGAAAGACTGTTATACTCAGTTTCCACATTTCCTTCAAACTATCAGGGCAGGCTCTGTCCTATTCAGACAGTGAGCAAGCAAGGGACATCTTTCTTCGCTAATACTTTCAGGGTCATCAGAATGCTCTGATAGCCCCAATTTTATCCTGGTCCCTGGTCCACTAAGTCTTGTTTTAGTCGTAAACCATGTGATGTCTGCATCCTCAACTCACTGGATTTCCATATTAGAAAAAAATCTGCCAGTACCAACAAGAGTGCAAAGAGTGCCAGGACATGGCATCATTACATCAGCATCTCCTTTGGTGGCCACAGCAATGCTGGGTTTGCTAAGGTCATTGTGGGGAAAGGCATCTGATTGTATGAATCACTTTTTAGAACGATTAGAATCACCGCTTGCTTCCAAAAAAAGCTTTCATTGTGCAATCACTCTGCCTCATTCATAATATTTTATGTTGGGCGCAGAGTTTTATCATTTTTCACTTGTTACCATCTCATACTTTCTCATCACTTCTGATGCAAACACAAAATAGCCACACATTGGGGATTTTTTTATTGGTAATTTAATACACCCTTTATCTGAAAGGGCTTATTGTTTGTATTAATGGGTAAGAAAGAAAACAATGGGGGCTGATTGTGCAAAAGATTCTGTGGTTTGAGTAATTAGGCTTTCGGCAGCAAGTGCTGAACCCAGATGCCCTGCATGTTTTCCCACACATATAGGGTCCTATTTACATGTCCTGAGAGTGATGTCCCATCATGTGTAGCATTGGCAAATGAGAAGGGTCTCTGTTACTTACAGTGATGTGGTGCTGGGCAGGCAGAATAACATTCTTTGGGAAATGGTAGATAGAGACTGGATATCCTCCAACCCACTGCTGGATGATGTAGCCACTTAGGTCGACCTCTTTAGTCAATAAGCAGTTGAAGATTCTGATAAATTTGCCTTTATGATGCACACTGATGATCCTTAGAGAGCTGGTTTCAGTATGGCATCTAAAAGAAGAGAACAAAGGACGTGAAGCAGTGGTGGGTTGCTCCCGGTTCGGTCCGGTTCTATAGAATCAGTAGTAAAACCGGTGGGAGGCTCCGCCCACTCGCCATGATGTCATCATGGGTGATCTGCGCACGCGCAGAAGCACTGCGCACGATCCTGTTGCGAACCAGTAGAATCCATCCCTGACATGAAGCAAATATAAATGGGTTGGATATTCAAAAACTTTTATTAAAAACCAATTCCACATGGCTGATTACACTGCTGGCCTTTATGTTGTGACAGACCTTCCAGAGCAATCAGTAAAGCTTGATTTAAAAAGTTAATTAAACAAAGAACAAAGCAAGCCAAGTGCTATAGTGGGAGAGACCGTACTGGGAGAATCGAAGTACATTGCAGAAAATCAAAACTTTTCTCAGAAGATCAGCGTTTGGGGCCCAATTGTGATTACTACTAGTTGTGGAATGCTGCACAGACAATGGTATAAATTAAGGCCCTTACCAAAACATGACCGGTAGACTACAGTACATCTTTAATTCAGAGTCCCAACCAAATGAGTTTGGTTAACCTAGCTGAGAGAGAAGATCACAGGATTTGAACTTGGGGGAAGAGGCAATGAAGCCCAGAGTAAGTCCAGGAAGAAGTAGTAGCATTGATGGAAGCCCACTGGCACTCATAACACTCAGAACATGGCAAAGCAAAGTTTCAATGCAACTGTTCTGTCCCTGTACCACACACGCACCCCCACAGATGGCCCAGAGTTAATAAGCCAAATGACAAAACTCTTTGAAGATAAAGCTGGCAGCAACCCAGTGGCTAGCTGCCAATTCAGACTTTACTCACACAAAACAAAGATTAGACTGCAAGCATTCCGATAAAACAGGTAGAGTTTCAACAATACAAGGATTAATCCAAATGCACTCCGATAAAGCAGGCAAAGTCCAGTAACACGGAGATCATGGATTATTTCCAGTTTTTGCTCGTCACAAACTGAACCGGCCACCACACCCACATTTATACCCTGTGGTGTGTGGTCCAGTGACTCAGCTAATCTCTGGCACACCTTCCCCTCTGCTGCGCACGCTTCTCCCTGCGCCTCTGCCGAGGGTCCAGCCAGCACTTATCTTCTTTGTCGCTGTCCACCTGTGGCTGCGGGGACGTGCTTGGCTCTGAGCCTATCTTTTGGCCTTTGGTGTCCTCCGGAGGCATTGCCAGAGAGGAGGGTCCTGGAGAGGGAGGCCTTGCCAACTCCTCTCCCTCACTCTCAGAGTCTGCATCTGTCGATAGCCCAGGCTCAGGCAACGAAGCCACAACAGCAACAGTAGCTGTTTGCATAAGCAAGATGGTGATGAACTATGTGAGCAAAAATGCCAAATATATTTTCAATCTGCTAATAGCAAGGAGTATAATACAAAGTCAATATGAGTTGGCTTTAAAGGGCCTCGGGGATGACTTGCAAATGGAATGGAGCGTTGTGAAGCAGAACTCAAAGGTTTTATTGCATAACTGTACAGAGATATGCTGCAAGGACCATATCCAGGGAATTCTATATTCTTTGAATGCCATATTATCAACATTATCAACATTATTGTGCGTTGTTTTTTTTTGTATATATTTTATTTATAGTTTTCCTTTAACAACCAACATATTTTGTGGATAGTGTATTGACTTGGGTCAATATATGTTTTTACACAGTGCTAACAATAATAATACAATTAGATATACATAATCTTTGTCTTCCAACTTCTAACCTTAATATGCTCCCTGTAATTATAATAGATTCTTTATGTATCAATATATATATATAACATTATTTCCCCAATTTGTACTCGGGTTTTCCCCACCCCATTTGTTGGGGTTCTTCTAGCTTCTCCTCTTTGCCTTTAAACAATACCATTCTCTCTTTATGATTCTTTATCACTTTCTCCATAAATATATTTAAACATCAATAACATCTCTTCATACAATGTATTTGTTGACCCCTGCTGAATCAATAATATTTAATATTTTAGATATTACTCACTGTTCCCCCATAATTCCAATATTTCAATTTTCTATAAACACCAATAAAACCAATTATTGATAAAGTTTGATCAGTCCCGAGATTATATCTCTAAGCCCCCTGAATTTATAGTCCTTAAAAGCTATAAATTTCAATATATTTTTTACACACTGTTAATAATAATAATACATTTAAATATACCTAATCATAGTCTTCCACCTCCTAGCCTTAGTATATTTGTAGTTATAATAAATTCTATTATATATTCATATATGTGCTACTGTTTTTCCAATTTATACTTTCTACTTTTTTCTATTAGTTTTTAGTACAATCACCATATTACAAAATATTTTATCTCTATCTATCAATCTCTTAGCCTTTTTAGAATTTCCTCATTTATTGACTTTTTGGTGACTTTTACATTTCTCTCTTGGTAGCCTATATTTCTTCCCAACACTTTTGCACTACCTGAATGTTCCCTCTGCCTTACCCCTTGTCCCCTTCTGCTGCATCATTTGGATAACCTTCCATAACCCTTTCATTAAGTTTAGAAATCTTCCTTTTTTCTCTCTGTTCTATTGTAAACTCTTAAGGAATTATCTATTTCATTCTTAGTACTTATTGTGACTGTCTCTTCAGTGTTGTTGTCTTCTTGTAATTTATTTTGATTTGTCTCCTCCATCGCTCCTTCAAATTTCTCATCTGTCTTCTGAATATTATGTTCATATTTTCCTACCATTTGTTGAGGATCTTCTATACTCACACTATACTTTATCTTTGAACAATCCCATCATCTCCCTATGATTCTTTGTCACATTTTCATAAATACTTTTAAGCATCACTAACATTTCTTCATAGAACTTTATTGTCTCCTGTTGAGTCATTTTGTACCAGTTTAATATATTAAAAATTACTCAATATACTTCTAATATTCCAGTATCCCAATATCTTAAAACTCCAGAGAAGTCAATTATTAATACATTTTAATAATTCTATTAGATATTTCTTTCTCATCTAGGTCTTTAATCTTTCTTTTTCTCCATGAATCCAATCGCCGCTTTCTTGATGTTTGGAGATTATTTTTTAAATTCTTTTACTTTGGTTAGGTCTCTAGAATAAAAGTTGGAAGTTGTCTCATCCAGTTTCAATACTCTGTCCACAAACCGTTCCAGCACAAATCTTATTGTCCCAGTTGTCACAGCTTGTGACTTGCCAAAAATGGCCGTCGTCCCTGCTGCCATTCAGGAGAGCTTTCTTTGGACCTAACAAGGAAATTCAGCCTCCTCGTGGTTGATGAAGCACCTCTCCTTCTTTCACCACCCCTCCAGGGCAGTTTTGACCCTGTAGGGTCTTTCAGCAAGCAGATACTGGCTGGTTTTCACGGAGCTTGCCAGAGCTCTGCTATTTTCAGCCATTCTCGCTGCAACACCAACCAGTTCTCAACTTTATCAATATTATTGATAAATGGATAAAAAAATCCTCCTTACTCTGATGAGGCAATAATAATAGAAATACCCCCATGAGAGCTGAACTCTGTGGACTCACCTCTTGCATTCCTGTAGAAAGGGAGAGTGCACCAAGTGGGGACATAGTTCCTCCTCTGACAGCCGTCCAAGAGAAAGACCAAGCTGAGTGAGCTTAGAAGGATACAGGGCGGAAACCAAATCTATGGGAAAGCAAAAACACTGTCCTTGTGTGACCCATTTATCTTTGCCAGTAAAACTTCAGGGGGGAAAATATATTTTTGCTTTGCATTGAATAGTGAATAATGAATCTTGACTAGAAAGATTTGATTTCTACATTGATGGTAGTCTGCATAACTGAGTTATCACTTTTCATGTAATTTCATCTAATTACAGTTTGGAGGGTGTAGGAGAGAGAGAGAAATCTAAGGGTTTTATTTTTCCTTCCACCTTCTTCATCTGCTCTGAAAGAAGATGCATTATTTGCTATATCAATTTAAAAAAACTAGATGGAATATTCTAAATGGTAGGGTAATCTGGAAGAGTACAGCAGGATTGAAAAATAACTATATCTCATGAAAATTGGTACCATTACCCTGGAAGCAAATTAATTTGGTTGCTAGGATATGGCATTCTTTTCAATGTCCAGGCTGGTAATTGAAAAGAATCAGTAAAGGAAACAGGGAAATTAACATTAATAGGAGAAAATCAAAATAAAAAAGGGTCATCTTACCAGACAGTGTAGAGCAGTGGTGTCAAACTCTATTTCATTGAGGGCTGCATCAGAGTTGTGTTTAACCTCGGAAGGGCAGGGTGGGTGTGGCCAGGATGATGTCACTTGTGTTGGGGGCGCCTATGGTGGCCCATGTGCTCTGCCAGTGAAAATGGGCTCCTGGGCCACATTTTTGGCCACGATGGCCTCCTGAAGCCTCCCCAAGCTCCGTTTTTGCTAGCAGAGGGCTGCAGGAGGCCATCGTGGCCAAAAATGGAGCCTGGGAAGGCTGTGCGTGGCCCTCCTGAGCTCCATTTTTGCTGGCAGAGGCACCATGGGCCAGTCCTTCGCTGTTTTCAGGGTGGCCCCGCAGGCCAGATCTAAGCACCCCATGGGCCTTGAGTTTGACACCCCTGGTGTAGAGCATGCAAGGAAATTATTGACCTCCCCAAGGGAGAAGGGAATTGTGTGGGGAAGTTGAAGATACAAAACATAGGAGTTGGGGAAAAATATTAAACGCTGTGAAGTGGGGAGTGCAAAGGAATTCAGCACCAATAGATGCACCGAAAGCAAAAAGGAGGAGCATAGTATGCCTTCTACATTGTGTCAAACTGGTGCATAATCACCATTTTTAAGCAATGACAGTTTAGGCAATTTCTTAAGTCAAATTTTTTTGAACAAATTAAACAGATTGTTTAACAATATTTCATAGCAAATCCTGCTGTTAGTATATTATCCTTATTTCCTAAAATATATCAATTAGCATAACGTAAGACTTTGCTAATGTCTTACAAGATTTCTTATTATACAACACTGGCAAATGAAAATATATCTTTAGTGTTAGAAAGTGGTCGGAAAATCGCCCTGGAAACAAATTAACAGAACAAACAAGTTTGAAAAATCGACAGGGAAGGATTTGTTTTCCCTTGATATCTTTGTCTATCAATCTGCCCGATTCAAGATAGTGGCCCTTAGGTTTTTAAGCAAAAAATATAAATCTTGATTAAAATATATTGTTCCTTTCAGTCCAATTCTCCAACAGCTCAAGAAAACTTTCAACTGCAAATCTGACAAGGATGTATTCCATCTCTTTGCCTAAGTCATTTATAAAAATTATGAAGCATGTCAGGCCCATGACTGAATCCAACGATACTCTATTTGACACTTCAACTGCAGTTAGAAAAAGAATCATTAACATTTTTGAGTAGGATTTTCAGTCCAAGTATGGAAGTATTGAATAGACATGCCATCCAGGCCATGCTTAACTAGATTATTAATCATAAAGTTAAAAGGTAATTTTTTAAACTTTCCACTGAAATTAGGATATATTATACCACAGTTATTTCCACAATATAATATGGAAGTGGGGAAACAAGGAAATGAAATTTGTTCTTGAGAAGTCTTAAGGTGATTCCAATCATCTCCGCTCTCTTTTCAAGTTTCTTACTTTTAGATGGGACAAGAGACTTTTTTCTTTGGGAATACCCTGAATTATATCAGTTAATAATATTTATTCAGTCAATTACCAGCAAAATTTAAAAGAACAAAAACAAAGTGACTAACAAAACAACGAACAAAATAAACCACACAGGATAACATTCACTCTTCTATTACTATGTTAATAGTTAATATACCTGTACGCATTCAATACCAGCTTGTGGGGATGATCAGGGATGTTTACTTTTTCACTCTTTTTTTAAGGAAAAATTTCCTGAAAGTTAGAACAATTGATCAGTAGAACAACTAACTTCCAGAAGTTGTGGAGGCAACTTAAATAACCTCTGGTATAGGGTCTCCTGCTTGAGTAGGGGATTGGCCCAGAAGACCTCCAAGTCCTTCCCAACTTTGTTGTTATTCACACCTATATGGGTTGTATATTCTACAAAACTGACTTCCCTTTTTTGCATGAAAGTGAGTAAGGCTGGAAAAAATTATTTCATAACCCCAATTGGGATAGGAGGGACATTTCCCATTCTCCAGTTTTATGTTTAAAACTAGGGCTTAGCAGGGCCCAAGTTAAGACATGAATATTTCATCTTTACTGATGGCAGTAGTTTATTTACCAGAGATGAAACAAATCAAGGCATTAACCTGGATTACAAACCAGAGGTTTTTGTGATTGTGTGTGTGATGCATGTATGACTCAGCCAGGCAACAGAAGTCCCACTGGAAAATTTGCACCTACCTTTCTTTTCTGGGCCTTTGTCCTCCAAGGAAGGTAGGCTGGAAGAAGATTCCGCCATCTTGCTCTCAGATAAGGCAAAATCTGATTTCAAAGAAGTGACGATAGCTTGCGAGGATAGTTCAGAAGGTAGTTTGCTCTCTATTACTGAGCTGTGGGGTTAGAGAGAGTTCTGTATGGATACTCTATGCTTATCTTGCATATAAAGCAAAAATGAGAGGGCAATAGATTTCTATCCACTCACAAGACAGATAGAAAGCCAATATTAATATAGAGTATTAATATTAATAGAAACTTGACATCAAGTTGCCTTAAAGAAAAACTTCAATTACATCATGCCTCCTACAACTGGAATGGGGATGAGGGTGGGGACAGGAGGAGAGATCCTTCCCTTTGTGCTGTGGGACTTGCCAAATTCATGGTGAACTTGGAAGCCAGCCTTCTTTAGAGTGATCTATCTGGGTTCTGTAAAATGATTTTCCCTCTCCATTCCCCACTGTCCAGGCAGAGCTGAAGAAGCTTCTTGGATGAGAAGTGAAACGTCTTCAAAGAAAAAACCAGAAATTCTAGTTGCCTCTTGAAAAAGCACCTTTAGGACAACCATGACCTGGATGACTGAGAATCTCCATAGACATTCAATCCCATTGTTTTCTCTACTGAGCTCTCCTAGGTCTTGATGATACTTTACTCTTCCAGAGACCATTTCTGACTTGTGTCCTCCATGTAGATGTACCTGATCTCAGTTGTCTTCTTTAAGGTCCTCGGCCAGGCCAGGCCATATCAAAAATCTGCCAATCTCCATGAATAGGCTTTAAGACTAGACATTACTCTCTCCTAATCCTTCCTGAAGGTAGTAGAGGGAAAAGATGTATCCCAGAGGATGTGACTTTTGTTCCTCTAAGCAACCATATTGCGTGAAAGCTCATAGCACTGTCTCAAGTTTTTCAGTCTGCTCATTGAGCCAAACACATCGGACACTTTATAATATTGGAATAACATTATTGACTTATCTGGAAGAGCTTTGTAAAGGTAAGCTCTTCCTCAAGTGATGGTCTTTGAATCTAATAGAGATTTTCATCAGGCAAGTGTCAACAACTTGTCTTTCCTTTGCAGCCTTTTGTACCTCATAATCTGATTCAAAAGTTGAAAGATTCTTTGAAAAATTTTAGGGTGGGGTGAGGATAGGTTGAGAGGAACAACAGGAGAAAGAGAAAAACTGTTTTTCTTTTTGCTCGCCTTCATTATATTCAAGAGCCTTTCATCAGCAGAAGATTCAACCCAAAGAAATATAATCATTTTAGTCTGAACTAATAGATCCGCTTTAAAAGAATTGGGTTGGGGAAACAGCATCCTAGCCAGAATAAGCAATTTTTGTGTTGCACAAATATAAAGCCACAGTCTCTTTAGAGACAGTCAACTTTATTTCACCTCTTCCTGTAGAACTGTTTCTGATTTCCCCACCCCCTCAAATTTATATCTGATTAGCTTTCCATATCGGGAGAAGAGTGGAAGTGAAGGCTGTGTGTGCATGAGAGAAAGAGAAGGAAAGAAGAAAAATTGAGAGAGAAGAAATATAAAAAGAAGGGAATCTAACCATTTGGGTCATTGAAAAAAGAAGCTTTCTGGACTAGACAAGGCATTGAGCAATTACTACTCCACCAATAACAAATAAGCAGGTAGGAGGCCAAGTTTCTTTATGACATAAAGTTCTCCAAAACTACCATGTCGATTGTGTGACTAAAGCGTAACCGACATACTATCTACTTGTGAGTAAACATTTCCACCTGACTTTTACACACAGTCTTGTAAATTATAATCTTGCAAGTGATATGTGTGCTTATATACACAGCCAGAAAATAAGTCTTGGTTTTCCTATGGCAAAACCCAGAAGTTCAATACGAGAAGGCCATCTAAATGATTCCCCATTTCTATTGGGTACTTTCTTAAACAAACACTTTGATACAACTTCCTTTCAGGCTTAATTCCATGGTTATATCTTTCATCCCTTATCTCTGAAAGCTTGTGAGTTTCTGTTACCTCTCCGGTGACCCCCTTCCTAAAGCATCAACAGTGGGTGGTGAGTTTAAGTCATCAGAAGTTATTCTGTTGATTAATTCTTCTCTTTCTTCACTGATAAGGGAATCATCTTGAATCTGAAACAAAAAGAAGACAATGGCATGTTAGAATAATGATAAGCAATAAGTATGCACCCTAACCCTAACCCTCAGCAAATTCAGTGTTAACAGAGGAAAATGCTTTCAGTATCAGAATGAAGAATAATAAATGGTAGAAGGGAATATAATAGGTATTAGCTAAATAGCAACAGACTAGACCTCCTGGTAGAATTATCACATTTTCACAATAATGTTGCCAGGTGTCCACTATTTGAGCAGGCAGTCCGCTTTTTTCACATTATGTTCACTATTTTTTTTTCACAAAATAGTGGACATTTTTTTTATTCAAAAGCTTTATGATGAAATTAAAATGTAACTTAATATTTTACATATTATTATAATATATTTGATGTTTTGAATTTTAAGTAAAGTTTGAAGTGATTATTTTAATACGTGTTAAAATGTTTGTAAGAAAATATATAATTTAATTGTAATTTTTTTTAAAAAAAAATTTACTACTTAAACCCAACCCAACCCCCCCCCCCTCTTGTCCGCTATTTTTTGGAAGCAGACCTGGCAACCCTATTTCACAATCTGTAATCCTGTAACAACAGGTTACAGGAAAGTGTCCAGAATATACTTTAATAACTTTTGCAACTAAAACAACCCCCATAACAAAAATTTGCATGGAGAAACATCACTCCGATTTAAAAAATCTCACTCCAGGCCTAACATTTGACAAATGATGATTGGAGAGAAGCCACAACAACAGTATGGGTTCCATTTACCTTCGCTACTGGTACGGAACTGTGAGCGCACATGTGCGCGTACTTGCTTTGCTTGCGCCTGGCGCTTCTGCACACGTGCAGAGTGTCCATGATGACATCCGGCCAGGGGAGCAGAGCCTGCTGAAACCCACCACTGCACAACATATATTTCATAGATCTATAAACAAAGATTGGGCCAATCTTTTTCGTAGATTGGAAAATGAAGCTTACTCCTCTGACCAGCTGGAAGGCTAGAGACACAGCCACAAGGGCAGAAGCACCGAAAGGAGAGAATTTCAGGGGAAAAAGGCTAAAAATTCAGCATTCACTGAATTTTTAGCATTTTTTTTTCTAAAAAAGACAGATTGGGCAGCCATCAGATTTTGACACAGAACTCAGAGGCTCCTGGAGGACTACAGATGGCACTGTTTGCGGAGTTGATTACCAACCACATATTTTTCCTTTTCCATTTGTGCTACGTTTTTAACCACTTTGTCTTATGAAGAGTATCTGGACATTCAAGAGCCTGCAAGTATCTTTTTCGACTTTTGGCTGACCTAATAAAATTATTGCTTCAGAATCAGTTGTGATATTTGTTTTCCCAATTGTCGGCCCCTATGAATCTTTTTACCCCCAAACTTCTCCTTTCTTCAAACCTCGCTCAATTTACTACCCCATCCCCACTGAAGAAGTCACTGACCTTAGGAAAGGAATCCACGAAGCTGGTGTGTTTTGGAATTCTCCTAAGCCTTATATGACTCGGGTCTGTTAAGGCCTTCTCTCCTACCTCCGACCACAGCTGTGCAAGAAAGGAAACATTAGTTACAACTAATGCTTCTTATTGAGCCCCAGAACTGGGAAAAAAAAGTACTGCTTACTATTTTTTTTTTTCATTTTTAAACAGAAATGAAGAAAAGCTCAGGGCCTTATTATCTAAAAGCCATCACATCTTCTATGAAGGATAAGCTTTTTGAAGGCTGCCTTACAGGTAATTTGCTACTGGTTCTCCGAACCACCCGCCTCCATCGCTACCAAATCGGGCGATTTGGTCCAAACTAGGAGCATTTTACCCCTGATCCTTCCCCCTGGAGTGGGGTGGAAATGGAGATTTTGCAGTATCCTTCCCCTGCCACACTCACCAAGCCACTCCCACCAAGCCAGGCCCACAGAACCAGTAGTAAAAAAAATTGAATTCCACCACTGTTGTAATGCATGCAATCACAAGACCACGCACACACTTATGACAGTTGTCATTCTTAGCCAAATTCAGTGGTGGATTGCTACCGGTTCACCCTGGATTGGGCGAACTGGTAGCAGCAGTGGCAGGAGGCTCCACCCACCCGCCCAGACACTTTTGCACATGCGCAGAAGCGGCGTGAGCGCGCATGAACACGCCCACATCCACAAGCAAACTGGTAGCGACGGGTTTTGAAACTCGCCCCTGGGCAAATTCCAGCCGTCACAGATTCCCACGGTCGCCTGATCCCCCATTTGCAACCTCCTGATAGCTTCCCCGTTGATTTTATTTGTGGGAAGCTGGCAGTGAAGTTTGCAAATGGTGATCAGGTGACCAGAGGACATTGCAACAGCCACAACTACAAAGGCCCATCAGTGCCATCCATTGTAACATCAAGTGGCCACCGAAGGAACAGTTGTTCAATGTAGACCACCTGTAGTTTCATCCTTATGGGTGGCTTTCAAATTAAGGAATGCCTTCTCTTTAGAGCTACATAGCAAAGGTGTTGGAATGCATGTCTTCACATTTTATTCTTAATTTACTCTTAGTATTTTTTATCAGGGCTTTAATTTTTTAAAGACAGCTTGACTGGCATTCTGTGCTAACTTCCAGCAGCAGGCAGCATAGAAAAGAAATTCTAAAAAAAGAATCCAGCATCTTATTTCCTATAGGGTGAACTATATTATTTTAATTAAGACACAGATACACTTTATTAAGGGCAAAGCTGATTCCCATGCTGGGTGGAGAAGACTGTGATTCATTAAGTTTCCCCTGTCTCTGTGAAGCAGGAGCAAACTCCATCCAGATCCCCTTGATATATAGATGAGACATTGCAATTGTAATGGCCTCCGTGATACAGGTAGTCCTTGACTTACAACAGTTCACTTAGTGGCTATTCAAAGTTACAACGATAGTGAAAAAAGCAACTTAGGACCGTTTTTCACACTTACGGCCGCTGCAGTATCCACATAGTCACGTGATCAAAAATTAGATATTTAGCAACCGACTCTTATTTATAACAGTTGCAGTGTCCCAGGGTCATCTGATCACTTTTTGTGACCTTCTGACAAGCAAAGTCAAAGGGGAAGCCAGGCTCACTTAAAAACTGTGTTACTAACTTAACAACTGCAGTGATTCGTTTAACAACTGTGGCACAAAAGGTCATAAAAGACGGCAAAATTCACTTAACAAACGTCTCACTTAGCAACAGAAATTTTGGGCTCAGTTGTGGTCATAAGTCAAGGACTACCTGTACACAAGTGTACTAATAAATCAGAATGTAAAGCACCCTGGAATAAAAAAAATTTCTATTCTTGTTGAAACACTTATTACTCTTTCAATAAATAGATCAGATTTATTGATTTATTGATCAGATTTCTGACATGCTGTGTGCCGAAAGTAGTTGCTTTGTACAGCTTTTTCCAGACCAAGTACAATTTGTGCACCACAATAAGAGTATACGAGTAATTTGGCACACATATGAAAACAATTGTTTTAGTTCTGCTTAATTGCACCTGTATTTGTTAAACTTATAACAATCTCTTGCATACAATAATGGTAGGTGGTTCACAACAAAACCAACAATAGCACAATCATGTCACCCACACCCAAAGCAGTCCAGCTCCATTATCCAAATTATCCAACTGATCATTTGCAATGAATATTTTTTAAGCATTTAAAATTGTTTCTTTTGGGAGGGGGAATTTGATATTGTAATGAAAGAAAGAAAAAGAAAATGGTTAGATAGCTTCCTCTCTTTCATTCTTTTCCCATACTTTCCTTCTCTAGATGGATTTTGAACTTACTTAAACCTTTTTTTTCCTTTGAGTCTTTGTCCAGTTCTTGCCTGGACAGTCTCTGCCGTTTTCTTGACAAACCTTTTCAGAATGGTTTGCCATTGCCTATTTCCTAGGGCTAAGAGAGAATGACTGGTCCAAGGTCATCCAGCTGACTTTGTGCCTAGGGCAGAACTCATGGCCTTCCAGTTTCCAACTAGATTACCTTAACCACTACACCACACTGGTTCTCACTTAACATTTAACTATTATTATATTTAAAATTGATTTTTAAAATCAAATTAATGATTATTATGGATGTTGTGAGATCCCCAAGCTCAACAGATATGAATTAAACTTTATAGTCAAAGCTACAGTTTCCTCACTGTCAATGTCAGTGAATGCTAAATCATCAGAAAGACTCAACAAAGAAAAATTGAAGCCTTTGAATTGTAGTGAAGAATACTAGATTACAGAATACTAGATGAAGCACAACCATATTTCAATGTGATGGTCACCATTTTCTAGCTAGATAAAACAGGATTAGGCAAATGCACGGAGGATAGATCAAACTAGTTGAATTGTTGGGTTGAAAAATGGAAGAGCAATAGCAAGAGCAATTAGACTTATTTACCATTTCACAGTGCTTTACAACCCCTTCTAAGCGGTTTAGACTCAACATATTGCCACAAACAATCTGGGTCCTCATTTTACCGACCTCGGAAGGATGGAAGACCAAGTCAATCTTGAGCCGGTGAGAATCGAACTGCTAGCAGTCAGCAGAATTAGCCTGCAATATTGCATTCTAACCACTATACTACCACAGCTCTAAGAGTATGCCTATTTCCCAGAAACAGCTCTTGAGTTGGTTGAAATGAAAGACTGCATGTGTTGGGGGATTCAGCTGTTTAGTGGCTTCTGCCTCTTTGTGCCTTCATGGGCATTGTAACAGTTCACCTGAGTTCTTCAAAAGAGGTAGGAATGGGGTGAGAGGTTTTAGTAAGAGACAGAAAGTAGCAAAAAAGACTTAGGGGTAAATTAAGACGTTGCAAATGTAACCGAATTATAAAATCTGGTGAATTGCTCCACTGGTTTTATAACTGGATTCATTTCCTTTGGGAGCTTGTTTAAACAGAACAAAATTACTTGGCTATGCAACATTTGTAATGATGCAAGGTACAGATCATATGAGAGCACCCACGGATGATGTGTGTGCATGCAAATGCTTCAGTATTGTTCACTTTATACTAGAAAGGGAGGATCCAAATTTGACAAGCAATGTATGTCCTCTAGTGGTCATAGCTTGCAACTGCACCCTGGCCTTTAGCACTGATGGATGGAACTTTAATCCAGCTGCTTAATTTTTAATCATTGTGGGAACCAAAGAAAATTCAGCAACATTAATAGCCAACCAGAGAATGATTAAACAAAAGGGTGGAGGGAGAGAGAAATAAATAAATAAGAATTCACTTAAAGAAGTAGAGGCAATGAAGAACGCAACAATTTAAACAAGGTGAATTTAGTACAGGTAAAGTCCTTGATTTATATCCACAACTGAGCCCCAAATTTCCACTGCTAACCAAGGCAGTTGTAAAATTAATTTTTGCCACAGTCGTTAAGTGAATCTGACTTCCCCCATTGACTTTGCTTGTCAGAAGCCAGCTGGGAAGGTTGCAAAGAGTGATCACATGACCCCAGGACATTGCAATTGTCAAAAATACATGCCAGTTGCCAAGCGCCCAAATTTTGATCATGTGACCATAGGGATGCTGCAACAGTGGTGTGAAAAACATCCATAAGTAACTTTTCTCAATGCTGTTGTAATTTCAGATGATCACTAAATGAATGATTATAAGTCGAAGACCACCTGTAGTAGAAACACACTTGCTTCTAAAGTGAACAAAGATGCATTATCATAAGAAAAGCCAAGCAGAACATGTCATGTGCAACCCAACTTGGCTATATACATGATGTTATCCTAAGTGCAGCACAGACTTCACCCTGCCAACAAAAGTGTGTATAGTCAAGGCTATGGTATTCCCAATTGCAATGTATGGCTGTGAAAGGTGGACCATAAGGAAGGCTGAGCACCAAAGAATTGAGGCCTTTGAACTACGGTGCTGCAGAATACTCCTGCGAGTCCCTTGGACTGCAAGGCGATCAAACTGGTCAGTCCTAAAGGAGATCAACCCTGACTGCTCTTTAGAAGGCCAGATCCTGAAGATGAAACTCAAATACTTTGGCCACCTAATGAGAAGGAAGGACTCCCTGGAGAAGAGCCTAATGCTGGGAAAGATTGAGGACAAAAGAAGAAGGGGACGACAGAGAACGAGATGGCTGGATGGAGTCACTGAAGCAGTCGGCGTGAGCTTAAATGGACTCCAGAGGATAGTAGAGGACAGAAAAGCCTGGAGGAACGTTGTCCATGGGGTCACGATGGGTTGGACACGACTTCACAACTAACAACAACCACCCTATGTGCAGTCAGTCCATCCCTTCCGATGCAAACTGTTCTGGCTGGTAAAGCTGTCCCTTTCCAGAAAGTGACTTCTCTGGTCTTGGAGTCTTGAGAATCTTTTGACATGAGATGCTGGGAAGTGAATCTCTGTTCTGCAAAGCAAGTCAGCCTCTCCTATGCTGGCTAGTTTACATAAGGTGTTCATTCATGGTTTGTTTAAACCAGGGTGTGTTGAATAAACTATGATGGCTGGATTCATTGATTGCACTAAAACAGGAACTGGCAGCCTTTTAGTATACTAGAGCTGTATTTTATCCTTTCAGAGGTGG